TTTCTGGATACCGGAAGCTACAGACGCTGTTCTATTACCACAAGGAAACGATCATTCCCGACAAATTGGAATACAACTCGATGGTCAATGCTTTGTTGAAGGAGTTGCAGAAAGCGCCCACAGACCGAAAAGATCAAGACGTGAAGACCCAGATTTTGGTGACTATCCGCGCCATGCTCACATGCACCATTGCCAATTTCCATCCTTGCATTGAGCGGACGTTGACAGCGGTGATCCGGGCTCGTCGGCACTACGAGTCGAGTTCGCACATTGTGACATACATGGAAGAACTGGTGGATATACTGGTGGATCACAGTTTGACGGAGGAGGCTGTGATTGACGGCGTGATCGAGGGAATGAATATGGGAGAGGAAGCGTTGAAGAGCGAAGGAGCATACCGGTCGATCATCCTCGGACTTTCGACTCTCCACCAGACGATCCTCCCGGCCAAATACGAGCACATCCCCGACGAGTCCCTGTCCAAGGTTGGAGCGGTTGTGTCGGAGCAGCTGAGACACCCGCGACCCGGAGTTCGCAAGCAAGCCACCGAGCTGAACGCCCTTATCAACTCCAAATTCGGCGACCGTCTTCGCAATCTCGCCCCGCCGCTTCAGGAAGGGTCCCTTAACTTGCTCACCTACTTCATGGCCCGCCAAAATATCAGTAGGTGAGCACCACCTTCCTGGGGCGGCGATGCAGCAGCTCGGTAGTGCCTGGGCCGCGGGGTGTCCACACCCCATGTATATGTCCTCTTCTTGCGCTTTTTCTCCTTTCTTTGTCGGTTTATTTTTATACCCGACGGCGCCGTCGGAGTGTACTTAGTGTATATAGTCAGTGGAAAAGTTGTTCTTGCCAGTCTCCTCTCTGTCAGTGGGTTGTCAGTATGTCCGCTGCACCGATCACTCACTGTCGTTGCCCATGAGCAGGGTACACAGTTCGAAATAATTGAGCGGAGTGAGACGTATCACTAGTTTGATTCGCCGGTCTCTCCATACATGATCGATAGTTATCATTTTGGTGCATAGCCGCATGCTCAGAACGCCTAGTCTAGTAATTTTCCCGACTGACATACCCGCCTCGGCTCACTTGCCCGCCGTCTCGGCAGGCTTTACCCCGAGTGTCTTCACGCAGACAAGTCCGATCGTCAGTCTCCACTGATCGGTGTCCCTTTCTCCATGATTCTTCTGGATTATTCGGAGAGGCGCCCCTCATTTCTCGGAGACAGGCCGTGGTCCACTCGGCTCAATTGCCCTGCGGTTCGTGTTCTACTTGGCGCAATGCAGCGAGGAACGGTATTTATAGAAGGCGGTTGCCCACAGCAGAGAATCCAACACCGCAGATCTACAATATTCTCTCGCTGAAGCAAGTCCGGTCCTAATATCAATAAAAATGGCGACGACCTTGACAGGCGGTTGCCAGCACATCGTCCAACTGCCCTCGACGCCCTCTAGCTCGGACGCCGACCCGCGCGCTGTCGCGCAGCAATGGCTCACGAACCTAGAGTCACAGCTCACTCATCCCGAAAATCTCAGTCTTGCAGAGCTCTTCCACCCCGAGTCCTGGTGGCGCGACATGCTAGCTCTGGACTGGGAGCTGCACACCACGCGCAGCGCATCACAGATCCAGGAATTCCTGCGTAAGCACCAGGGCCGCGCACGACTATCCAAGTTCCGACTGCAAGACAAAGGCCAATTCCAACCAAAGCGCGAACAAGTGGTTGACGGTCTGAGCTGGGTATCAGCCATGTTCTTCTTCGAAACTGCCGTCGGCCGCGGCACGGGGATGCTGCGTTTGACACAGGCGGATGGCAGTGGGCCCTGGAAGGCCTACGCGGTGTATACATCGCTACAGGAGTTGAAGGGCGTTGAGGAGCCGCTGGGGAAGCGCAGGACTGAGGGGACAACAGAGTCTATGCCTGGTGGAGTAGCGGGTGGGACTTGGATTGAGCGGCGGCGGAGGCAGGCGGAGTTTTTGGACGAGGAGCCTGCGACGCTGGTTGTTGGTGCTGGTTCGTTGGTCCTTGAAAGATGTGGGTGTGAGATCTATGCTAATTAATGACTGGACAGGCCAAGCTGGGCTTAATGTGGGTGCGCGGCTGCAGAGTCTCGGCGTGTCGTGTTTGATTGTGGATAAGAATGAGCGCGTGGGTGATAATTGGCGCAATCGATACCGAGTGAGTGTTTTAGGAGATTCTATTTAGTTCGAGTTTGATGGCTAATATGCTTCAAAATAGACACTTGTTACTCACGACCCAGCCGAATTCACGCACATGGCCTACCTGCCCTTCCCCCAGAACTGGCCGCAGTTCACTCCAAAAGACAAGCTTGGCGACTGGTTTGAAGCGTATGCAAGCCTCATGGAATTGAATGTTTGGACGCGCACATCGGTTGTATCTGCCGACTACAACGACACCGCTGGCGATTGGACGGTAATCGTTGCTCGCGGGGATGGATCCCGACGAACGCTGCGTCCACGCCATGTTGTTTGGTGTACTGGACACTCAGGCGAGGCGCTTATTCCAAGTTTCCAGGGGCAGGAATCCTTCCAGGGGACTGTATATCATGGCAGCCAGCACTGTGATGCCTCTGAGACGGATGTGCGCGGAAAGAAAGTCGTTGTCGTCGGCACTGGCAACAGTGGCCACGATATCGCACAGAACTTCTACGAGAACGGCGCAGATGTGACCATGCTACAGCGCAGAGGAACCTATGTACTAACCGCGGACAAGGGAGTGTTCATGCTCCACGATGGTCTTCATGAAGATGGGGGGTATGTATCTCATCCACTTATTTCTGGAACAGCATCAACTCACTATTGTCTGTCTCGATCCAGTCCCCCAACAGAAGAATGCGACATTGTCAGCGAAAGCCTCCCCTGGCCCGTCCAATTCGCACTAAGCGTGCACCTAACACGCCGCATCGCCGCCGCGGACCAGGAAACGCTCGACGGCCTCCGTGACGCCGGCTTCCAGCTCGACTTCGGACCAGACGGCGCCGGTATTGCTCGCGCGTACTTTACTCGCGGCGGCGGGTACTATATAGACGTCGGCTGCAGCCAGCTGATCATTGACGGCAAGATCAAGGTCAAGCACAGCCCACGGGGTATCGAGCGTTTTGGTCCGCGCGAGCTGGTCCTAGCGGATGGCGAGACGCTGGATGCTGATATCGTTGTTCTGGCTACGGGATATGACAACATGCGGACTACCGTGCGCAAAGTGCTGGGTGATAAGGTTGCGGATCGGTGTAAGGATGTTTGGGATTTGGATGAGGAGGGTGAGCTTAACGCAGTAAGTTATTCTTCGTTCTTTGCTTTTGGAATCTATGCTAAAGGTATTCATTAGATGTGGCGTCCCAGCGGTCACCCTGGTTTCTGGTTCATGGGCGGCAATCTTGCTCTGTGCCGTATTTACTCGAAGTTTCTGGCGCTTCAAATCAAAGCTGTGGAGGAAGGGTTGACCTCTCAGTCGTAGGAGAGAGCTATGTATTAAGGTTTTCTAATCTAGATCTGATGCATCCTGAGGGTACCTGCGTATTATTTAAGGAGATTTGGGTGCACGAGGCATTAGAGAAGGAATCAAATGTTTTGACTAGTGTGAAATCGGTGAAACTAGTCAAAACATTCAGTATGTACGGCAGTGTATAGCCGCCACCATATCAGGAGCGGAGATAGCCGGTGGAGATAAAAGAGACTTCGGCGGAACAAAACACGGGGACCCACATCTAAAAGCCAGTATACAAAACTTCATGCAGAGAACAACTTCTTCCGCCGCAATTGCCGAGTTTTTGTAGACATAAATATCATGAATTGACACGCAATGGTCAATTCGACTATGCAACAGCATTTCATCACTCAGTCTACCGATACCAAGTATAAGCAACCAATATGGTCGTCCTTCCTACTCGTCCACTTGGCCGAAACGGGCCTTTGGTCCCTCGTTTGGGACTGGGTTTGATGGGAATCAGTGGGACATACGGCCTGCCGCCTGCTGACACCGAAAGACTTGCATTCCTGGATGAGGCATACAAGAAGGGAGAGCGATTCTGGGATACCGGTACGCTACGCACCAAACTTAGGATTCACCGATTTGAATTGACATTTTTGGGGCAGCCAACAAGTACGGCGACTCCGAAGAGCTGCTGGGGAAATGGTTCGCAGCCAACCCCGGCAAGCGGCAGGATATCTTCCTGGCGACTAAGTTCGGGATCAAGCCCATCCCCGGCGGAAAGGGATTAAAGGGATTCACTATCGATTCGACGCCAGAATACTGCTGCCAATGCATCGATATATCTCTTGAGCGCCTCGGCTTGCCCTACGTGGATCTGTACTATATCCACCGCCTGGACAAGGTGACTCCGATTGAGAAGACCATGCAAGCGATGGTGCAACTCAAGAATGCCGGCAAGATCAAGTATCTTGGGCTGAGCGAGTGCAGCGCTGAGTCTTTGCGGCGCGCACATGCCGTGCATCCCATCACATGTGTGCAGGTGGAGTACAGTCCATTCTGCACAGACATCGAGTCGCCGACGACGCAACTGCTAGACACAGCGCGGGAACTGGGCGTTGCGGTTGTGGCGTATAGTCCACTGGGGAACGGTGTGCTAAGCGGAAAGATCCGTTCGCGCGAGGACGTGACTGGGCCTGGAGATATGCGCGGAATACTACCATGGTTGTGGGAGGAGAATATTCAGACAACCGTTCGGGTCGTGGGTCAGATCGCTGAGATTGCCAAGACGAAGGGGATCACCACGGCGCAGTTGGCGCTTGCTTGGCTGCTCAAGCAGGGCGATGACATCTTCCCCATTCCCGGGTCTTCGAAGATTGATCGTTTGGAGGAGAACTTGGGGAGTTTGTCTGTGTCTTTGTCGGATGAAGAAGAGAAGTCTGTTCGGCAGTTGGCCAAGAGTGTTATTGCCGAGCGGTTTCAGACAATGTCGGGCTATGCTTTCGCGGATACTCCCCCATTGGAGGAGTAACTGAATAGTATTCTGCTCAGGTACTTCCTAGAAACTCCACTGTCTGATCTGCGTGTATCCAAGTATTGAAAATATCCTCTGCTGCGCGCGAATCTGTCCGTGGATCGGATTCAAGTGTTTCTTGTAGTCCTAGAGGGAAAGGTGACAGCTCCTGCGTATTTGAGGCCCTATGAGAATAGGCATCCAAAACAGAACAATTATAGGACTGGTCATCCCATGCAGCGGTGTTGAGGAAGAGAGAGCTGTCCAAGTTGTCGGTTTCACCGCTGGTTGCATTGGTTGCGGGCTCTGACATCCAAACCGAGCCAAGGTCCGGACTCGCCATATACCGAGGAGCAATGTGAATTGAGCCAAAATAAGGAATCGGTAGTTTCAGAGTCTTGCCATCTTCTTGGGCTTCGCCGTCATCTCTGGTAGCATTTTCTTCATTCCAGGCATAGTAGTCGGAGCCATTCATTGCATCTTCCTCAATATCCGTAAGTCTTTTCAAGATATGGACACGAGAAGTGCCCTGTGCATCTTTATTTGGAGCCAATACTTCTTCCATCAAATCAATCACCCTACTGATAATACCCAAGTCGTGCGGCCTCTGATGTTCCAGCACGTTTGTGCGCCCAAGATGGTGTCCATCAAGGTGAGCCACAAGCAGTGTAATAGCGGCCGTGAATGCCTTGTCATCGAGACCCCGATATGTAGACGACCGATAGAATTTGCGGAGCACAAGGTAGCGGGCGAGTAGCTCGCAGCTTGCAGAGTGGACAGCAAGTTTGTTATATATGAAATCGGATGAAAGTCGACTATCTTCAGAATTCCGTTGGGCGATATATGGCTGGTGAAGAGCAAGCACAAGATAGTGCTGATGCATCTGTGCTAGGAGTTTAGCAGAGCTTTGCGCTGTTTCGGCGGCTGTGGCGGTATTATCCAGGTTTGGAATCGCCCACCAGCTGGTCGGCAAAAGTCTTGTCGCCTTTTTCAACTGGTCGTCAATATCTTGAGTCTCTTTATAGTCACGATCATTCTTGTTCATTTCATGCTTGCGGCGCCGCTGCATACGCATGTTTCGCGCAATAATACGTCCAGCGACCACGACATGAATGCGCTCCAGTCTCTCAGCTGGGATGTTAGTCGCCAGTTGGCTTTCGCTCGCAAATGTATTGTCATCAACTGCAAAAGGGAGACCCAGCATCAATGACATGAAACGGTCACTAAAAATAAGCTGGAACCACACAGACTCAGCCCGAGGGTTCGATATTTCGGCCTGTCGGGGAAGGTCCATCAACTGGGCAATGCTCAGAGCACGGCGAAAGATGAGCCAAGCGACACGTAAGTCACCCGCACTGATATGATAACGGCCTTGAAGCAGAAGGGTCTCGAGTCCGTCAAGGGAGTCGACTAAACAATCCTGGGACATGACGTAGCGTGAAGCAGCATCAAAATAGCGGTTTGCAGCATCCTTGACGGGCTCTTTCAGCCATATTTCGATCTGCTTTGCCGTAGTCGTATCGAGCTGCTGCAAGCAGAGTGCGAGTTGAATGAGCTTGCGACCAAAGAGAATGGGATGGGCAGTAGCCGACATATCAGTTATCTGCATATCCTGTTCAGCAACTGATCGCGGGAGTGGGCGCCTTCTCGAGGTGCAATGGAGGACTTGCAGAGGTGGACTCGAGAGCTTGCCAGTGTCCAAAATCAACAGGGCAAGAGTCGGGTGCGGAAGAATGGAATAGAGGTAGCCATTGAGCGAGCTCCCTCTCGACATCCGCTCATGGCTGACTTGTTGCAAAGTCGGCAGTGCCCGTTTTGAGCGATTGGCCAGTGTCTCGGAGTGTATATCGTGAGATTTACTTTGAGAGGGCGACTGAGCCAGTTGATTGACCAAGGCCTCGACCTGATTGAGGCGTTGCCCAACTTCTTTATAAGCGCTGTCAACGCTCTCGCTAAACTCTTGGCTTATACATGGGAGACCTCGTCGTTGACAAGAGGCACAGGTGGTGCCGGTCTTGAACTCGCAGCGGGTCTTGCGATTTTTGCACTCCCAGCAGCTGAAGGTGCCCTTGCGGATTTTGCGCCGCTTTAAGGGAGGCTTGCCCGGAGGATCTGCCGATGAGACTGAGGATGACATTGTTTTTGGGTGAATTATATGGAGTTGGAAGTGCCAGGGAAAGTTGGTCCTCAAGACACAAACACTGTAGCTGAGTCATGGCCTCGTTCTCCCACCGTTGACCAATCGTATGTACCTCTATAGTGTTGGTACTCTTTGTCAAGTGTTGTTGATTGTTTACCTAGGTCAAGCTAAAAGAAGGCTATCCTAATACTGGTCATTCGGTAGTACACGCTCCATAGTTATTACCCATAAACCCCCAGCGGAAACCTTTGTCCCGTTCATTCGAAGATTCTGTATAGTAGTAGGGATCATGTGACCGGTGCTCGATGTAGTCCTATTATTTTCTACATGACTTTGCTTTTCTCTCGGCCCTATTCACTGCTGTGGATTACCAAAATAATTATATTCTTGCGTCATAAACTATATATCTCTTCAGCTTCCATTCCATCGACTTGATTTCATCTCTATAGTGGCAAATGTGTTTCACCACGTGACCGGAGAAAAAACGAAAAGAAGTGGGCCATGCCGGGGACATCATCGGAAATTCACCATCAAAGCTCGACGACAAGCATATCAAAACAAACTGCTCTGGATCACCGTTGTGGAATGGCTCCGACAAGGAACGTAGGGGCTGGGTTTGAGCAAATGAGTTACGACCACAGCCAATGACTGTCGTACGACCAAGGATCACACCAGATCCATACGAGCACAAACATGAGCGAAAGAGGTTCCGAGATCATTTTTCGGTCGGGGAATACCCCGACCCGCTTCTTCAAAGCATGCCGTTGGTGTAGAAAGCAAAAGATGCGCTGCGATGCTCGCAACCAGGTACCATGCTTCCGCTGTCGTTCCACCGGCCGGGATTGCATTTTGGACCCTATAGACGACGGGAGGCGCCGAAATGAACGTCGGAGAAAGACTACCACCCCATCCGTACGGTACGTTCAAAGTAAATTGATTCTGTTGGCTATTTTTACTCACGTCATGGTAGAGGGCATGTCATCACTTCCCCGGCGGATCAGCGCAATGGTTTACATACTCCGGCATCGAGAGAGCGGGAATATTCCCCCGTCTCGGTGCGAGATACTACTTTCAACACTTCAATTGACTCCTTGCCGGAGACTACCACTTTGGGGGCCCAAGCCCCCGATCATAATGGACCCGAATCGCAGCAATTAAGCCCCAACGATATGATGGCCCCAGTGTCGGCGATGCACTCCATGTCTGTGAACTTACTAGGGTCTAACAATGTAAGTTGATATCAAATACTGTCAACAGACCTGCTGACTTAACTCTCCCAGATTTTCATAGAGACCTCCACCAAAGGTGATCCGAACAGCGATATTATTGCTCGAGGAATTGTGAGCGAAGAATTGGCTCGAGTATTATATGAGCGGTATGCGATTTGCTTTCAAATGCGCTGGGCAGAAATAACTTCTATTCAACAGGTTCACCGGAGGAAGTAAAAACTTTCTGCCACTTTTCGACCCGATCCGTGACACATTCGACTCCATCCGGTCACGTTCTTTGTTCTGCTTCACGGTGATTATATACCTTGCAAGCCGCGCTGTAATGGACCTACGCAGCGATACACATATACAGCGCGTACTGCAAGACGAAGCACAGAGACTAGCTGAGGATAGCTTCTTTGAGAGGCCTACCAAGCTTGAAACCGTTCAAGGAATGATCTTACTTGCTGCCTACTCCGAAAAAACATGGTTTTCCACGGCGCTCATTCTACGGACTGCCCTAGATTCCGGATTGGAAAAGTCGCTCGACACGTTATTGTCCCAGGAGAATGTGCCGCGCAGTTCCCTCGCTGCTTCCATAGCCGACCGCCAGCTTGTGTGGCAGACCAGAACCTGGCTTATTACCTTCACGTTGGAACAAGATGTTGCTTCAGGTACCGGCCGCAAATCTCGCATTGCCGAGGTTGATGTTATGAAGCTGCGGAAATTTCTGGACTACCCGCTCTCTCTTCCTTGCGATATGCGAACGGTATCTATTATCGAACTTCATCAGCTTCGAAGTATGCCCAAATCTTACTGATATTCTCGGATGTCAACTAAATGTGATTAGCCCAATCTCGAATTATCATGGAAAACGCAACGACAACCCGTGATATTGTTTCCACTGAATTGCCAGCCATCATGACAAGGCTGCAGAACTGGTGGACCACGTGGGATGAAATTCACGAAAGTAGGTTTTCCCGATACTATATTGAAAACTGTTACTTACTTGCATGAAGATAATGGCTTTCATGCGGGGGCGTTTCAACGAAGCAGCCTCAGATTGATGGTCAACTATGCCAGAATCTTTGTTTGGTGCACTTCATTGGCACGTATTCAAAAGCTGCCGTCCAACTCCTCAAGCTCCGAGGCAGAGAGTCTCGACCAAAATGTGCTCAATATATGGCAATCACTCATCACAACCATCATGGACCAATTGGCATTCTTTATTAACGAGCCCGCTTATCGCTGCCAACTACCATGGGCACCCACATACCCCGCCCTGACTATCGCCTTTGTCGGTGAGTACATCGCATGCCGGAGGAAGAACGTCTTAAAATTGTCTAACAGTAACAGCAACATATGCAATTCGAATCGCACGGTGGCGCCCAAATCTAATTAACAAAGACGTACTGCTGGAAAGAGTGGATCAGATCTGCGAGTTTCTCAAGCAACCACCGTATCCCGACATCCATCGTACAGTCTCTATTTTCGTGAACTACGTCCGAGCCTTGATTGCTAGCCAGCATCCACCAAGTGACGATGGTGCAGACTTACCGAGCCTGTCTGAGCCGGTTGATGAACAGGCACCTTTCCCCAGTGGGCAAGATGGCCCCACGAACAATTCCCTTCCCCCTCTGGAATGGATCCACCGGACGCTGCCAGCTACAGGCCAGCCCCACAAGTCCAGGCTGATAAAGACCCTGTTATGACCTCAATACCAGCCGATAGAGCGGCAGCAGCCCGGCCAGCCCCTCCTCGATTGCCCGAGACCATGGAAGCCCCCAATTGGACGGTATCCAACACCATTGCAGATTCATTTGGGCTTTTTGAAGAAGGGCAGAACGATATCTTTGATTTTTTGCCTATGATGCCAACGATGCCTCAGTAGCTTTATTTTGTAATTGAATGACAATTTTCTACTGCTTTCTTTGCTCTTTTTAAATGTATCTTTCACTGTTTAGAGCCCGGACTGTCTTGGTCTGTGGGTTAGAACACGGGATTCGGCATCGGCACAGCAACGCCTCGACTTGTTGGGCCACAACCCTGATCGTCGCCTGCACATGACAGACCCCGCTGCATTAGTTAGCTAAAGAGAAACAAAGAACCCGCCCAATCGCGGGAAACTAGACACTCGGGGGCGTCCGTCACCCTCCGGGTCCTGACCGGCACCGGGTGTGGGTTCTCTTCACTACCGGCCCCGGAACGGCGCCGGTCGACCGGCCCTCAGAGACTGCAGTATAGTGCTCCTTCATTGGTACGTGACTATTTTCTCTCGCTTGATAGCTTCGCAGAGGCCTTTTCCAAGCCAGTCTAGCCTCTATGAGTAAAGTTTTCATGGGTTGTTGGCTCCACCGGTTTGCAATGGCAGACGGAAAAGTTTTGCTATATAAGCCGCTTGTCTACTACTAGCTCTCAGAGAATTATTATGGCTCAGGCAAATTTTCTTCGTTTTTAATTCCCTTCCCTCACCTACAATAATACTCAAACAAAATGGCAGTTGCTTCGTTTATATCTAGAATAGCAAATGTCTTTTCTTCTTCAGGTGCGCTTGACCTTGTACATCGCCTTCGTGTTTACCCCGGGCCTAACAGACTCCCAAGATCCCAAACCCGACGAGAAACCTGTGTCCCCAATGGAACCCAAAAAGAGTTACCTGGAAGATGAGGACTTTAAGCTAGTTGAACAGTCGAACCATGATGTACTTGTCGAGTTTCAAGAGGCTTCGGCCGCAGACCCGAACAATTGGTGTTTTGTAAGCTTGTTTTGCCTTGTTTTTCGTATACCTCGATCAAAACCATGGCAACTAACGACGCCTTTTGAAAATAGGGCATGAAAGTGTACATCATCTTGACATCGCTGCTCATCGTGATGAACAGCGGTATATCGGCAGCGTTACCTAGCAATGCGATCCCTTCCATCATGCAATATTTCCACCAGTCAGGCTCTGGACCCAAGGTCCTGCCGACGGCCGTGTTTCTGATAGGATACATTGTTGGTCCTCTGCTTTTCAGCCCGATGAGCGAGACTGTGGGCCGCAGACCAGTCCTTCTTTGGACATTCACAGTCTTCGTCCTGGTAACACTTGGCTGTGCTCTTGCACCCAATTGGCCAGCCCTCCTAGTCCTTCGCACCCTCTGTGGTCTTATGGCCGCTGCACCACAGACTGTTGTTGGTGGCGTGTACGCGGATCTGTTTTCAGATCTTCGCACTCGCGGTCGCGCGATGTGCTTCTATATGTCGGTATGTGGAGCAGAATAGTTCCTCTTAACTTCTTGTCTAACATGTTACAACAGGCCGCGAGCTTTGGCCCAATTCTGGGTCCGATTATTTCTGGGTGTGCCGTTCAATATGGCTGGCGATGGGTGTTTCGCATTGACGTGATCCTGAGCGGCAGCTGCTGGATTGGACTGCTCTTTATGCCCGGTATGATACTCGTTTCTCGTTATTGTTTGTTCCACGCTAATTTGTCAGTATAGAAACCTTCAGTCCAGTAATCCTCAAAAAGAAGGCAGCCAAACTTCGAAAACAGACCGGTTCCAACTCCTACTTCTCTCGACAGGAACTAAAGAACGCGAGCTGGAGGGACACCATGCTTCCGATCCTAACCCGACCTATCATGATGCTTATCTCTGAGCCTATCATTCTTTCCACAGCAATTTATATCTCGCTTGCATACAGTCTGGTGTTTTTCTTCTTTCAGGCATACCCTATTATCTACGAAGGTATGCATCAACTCTCCAAAATTCCGTATAATACTAACAACTCCTCAATAGGAACGTACGGTTTTGACGTGCAGACTACGTCTTTCATCTACATCCCGAGTATGTATTCTCTGAAATTATGATATTCCACAATTTCTAACAGCAAATATAGTTGGCATTGGTGCTGCCTCTTCCGGTCTGGTGACATTCTACTACGACACTATCTATGAGAAAGCCAAAAAGCGAGGAAAAGAATGGACCTCCAGTCCTGAGCTTCACCGACTACCGTTAAGTTGCCTTGCTGGACCAGCCATGGCAATCGCACTTTTCTGGTTAGCCTGGTCAGCCAAGCCCAATATCCATTGGGCGGTTCCCGTGCTGTCTGGATTACTATTCGGGTTTGGATACCAGCTTGTCTTCATTTCGCTCCTCACGTACGTCACGGACGCCTACAACATCTATTCTGCCAGTGCGCTCGCGGCATCAGTCATCTTGCGAAGTATTTGTGGTGCAGTCTTTCCTCTTGCCGCGGATCCTCTCTATTCATCTCTGAGTGTATCATGGGCTACTTCGATATTGGGGTTCATCAGCTTGGCTTGCATCCCGATTCCTTTTATTCTGCTCTATGCTGGGCCATGGATTCGCGAGAGAAGTTCATTTTGTCAGCAGCTGTTGGAGGAGGAAAGGCTCAGAAAGAGTGGACTGAGTACGCCAGCGGAAGCATGAATTCGGTGGCCCTTGTTGGGCATTTCACGACCTTACGAACGGTTACAACCGGCTACGGTGCATTTCGGGTTCATTTGGTTACGATCGCATATTCCATAAAGATTCCTCTGATCTTGCGTGGAACAGGTTGATTTGCATTTAGAAAAGTGATGACTTGATAACTAATTTATAATAATGAAACTACTGCACGCTCTCAATGTTCTAAATTTCTAGCTTTCCTAGTCGAAGTAGAAAGACTTACATCAGAAGAACCATACTGAAATAGTAATTGAAATTGGTTAGTATGCTTAGGAGATGGGCTATTTAGTATACAGGCAACTTGAAAGCGTTCAGGTCGTACAGCCAGGTGTCAACAGACTGCTGGTCGTGGACGCACTGAGGATTTTGAGCCCTGTTGGATGACCACTTTGGGCGAAGAGGCCAGGCGCAGATGTCCTGTTTCTTGCCAGCATTCTCGCCCTGGATTATAGTTCCCTCCAGTGTCGTTGGGGCGTTACCTTTCTCAACCCAGTCAATCAACACCTCCAGATTGGTCTGGGGGAATGGTCCATTAGGCTGGGCCACATTCGGTGAGCAATGAGCGGCACCCTGAACCAGGAAAAATTTGTACCACTCGCCGAGCTTTTCGTAACTATCACTCTCACCGAGATCAGGGTACATGACGTTGCGAACTGACTCGTAGTAGCGCACCGACGAGGCAGAAGGAATCGAATCATCCTGCTCCCCGTGAAAATGAAGGACCTTCGCACCTGCCTCTTGGAGGTCGGTGAGGTCGGGCCAAGTAGTCTGCAGGGTGTCCTCATACTTCCACCAGGCTTGGTAGATCCATTCCTTCAAGGTGTCGGCCGTGACTCCATCCAGGGACGGAAGGTTGTCCAGCTCGACGAGCTGAAGGAACATAGTGACAAACTCGCCGCCAAGCGAGCTAACATCGAGTTCCCATTCACCAGTTTTGGGGTTGTATTGCGTTGCTGAATCGTCAATGTAAGCTCCAGGCTGGTAGGAGAAATACATTCTGCGACCCTTAGAGTCGTGTGGCCCATTGAGGGTGTTCTTCATCACATCCACGGCCTTTTGAGACACCTTGCCCTTTTGAGGAGGAATAGATACGAAAAAAGGGAAACCACCACCCGGACCATACTCGACATTGATGGTAAAGTTTGCGGGGCAGCTGTATGACTCGCCAACAATGCTGTCGAGGTCAAAGTGCATCTTGCATAGGTCGGAGCGGCCGACAACCCCATCCTTTTTGCCATCGAGGCCATCACAGGCGGCAATCGTTTCGTTCATGATCTTAGAGTATTCACAGGACGAGGGGTAGTAGTCCAGGTTTTTCTGCTGGAGTCCAGCCCAAAGATGCTGGACTTGCTGGAAGGCATATCGGAAAGCAGGGGCACCCACAATATATCCGTCAAACTGGTCTGGATATCTTTGAAGTTGGCTCATTCCCTCACGGCCGCCCTCAGAGCAGCCTTGATAATAGGAATACAGCTTGGTATCCGAAGTCTTGTAGAAAAGTTGGGTGAGCTCTTTGCCCAGAACTGTCATCTCATGTATTCCCTCGTATCCAAACATGAAAAGAGCGTCGTAGTTGATGGTGCCATTCTCTTTCAAGATCACATTCGAGACTTGGGTCTCGAGGCTTCCAAATCCACCATCCGTCAGGCCAGCGACGGCGCCATACATGACTCCTCCAGGGAGAGAACCAGAGGTAGTGGTACCAGAATTGATGGCATAGCCACCTCCTCCAGTTGCAAGGAAACGATTGGCAAATTTTGATGGGGGTGGAAGCCAGTAGTTGACAAGCACTCGGTCATTTCGCCCGGAGTGGGTGTAGGCAAAGGTGACATTGCAGAAATCAATCGTCGCGTCAGGGTAGAAGTTGGCGCTGGCAATCTTTACATTCGTGAAGGGCTGCGCAGTGACCGAGCTGGAGTCAACAGCAATGCCGGAGATAAAATCATCGGCTGGAAGTGATTTCTTCACGTAGGAGACAGTGCAAACGTCGTCCAAAGAGGTAGTTGCTTGAGCAATTGAGGCACTCCCCAAGAGGGCAGCAGCCCACAAGCCAGCACCCATGTTTGAGAGCTTAGAAAAAGATCGATATAGGATAAAGTGAAAGTAAAGGCGCGTTTATGTAGTATCAGGGGCCGGCGCAACTTCGGTATAGATAACTCCCTCCCCCCCAGTCACATCTCCACACTCCCCACACTTTCCCACCCTGCGTCTAAGAAGTGCGCATGTAGTATTTACCGGAGACGCGTCAAGATTGCCTGTTAAGGAGATTACTGCCACTTTAGTTGTGTCCAGGAGTCCACGCTAATCTAGAGGGAGATTCTCAGACCGACCCCGACCTAGGCTAGCGGAAAAGAACTCTTCCACAAGGGCTCGAGCTTGGCCTTCCGCTACACCGATCCTCCCAACGACTCAACCAGACTAAAGAAGCTCTCTACTAAATAGGTTGTCTATGCTTGGATCCCTTTTGGCAGACGGCTAAGAGCTGGGCCTCGATTAAGCATTCCTAACGAGCCCTAGCCAGTCGCTTCATCAGGCTGCATCTGAAAAGTCCGGGGTTCCCCACACACACTCTATCTTTTTGCTTTGTCCTTCTTGATTCCAACCCACTGCTATTTCTGTTCTTTTTATAATGCTGTGGATGACATAAAAACGTGATTTTTAACTGAATGCCTGGCGGTGTCGGAAAGCCCAAGAAGGGTGTGCCGCCATCTACACTTCAGAAGCGACGACTTGGCACCTAACGTCCGGAGATAAAGTTCATAATTTATTGCTGATTTCGTTCTTCATACCTGTAAATGACTTGGATAAATGACCGTCAATCAAATCTTTTCAATATTCACGCGACATATCTATACTTCCTCGCACGGACCACAAACATTGCGTTCCCCATGATTCGGATTGACAAAAGCCGGAAATATATTCTTGGCATTGGTCATGGCCCGAAGGGAATCTTGACAGCCTATTGGTGGGTGGTATTGCCCTGAGGGTGTCAACACAGTTCTAGAGCTGGCGGAGACATCTACCTTACTTCACTTCATTCAATGCTCGCTTTCGGGGGATTGACTGCTCAGTGGAGACGCATGTGGAGCAGTGGACTGTATTGAACTGGGTTTCTTTTTTACATGTCCCAGTGGGAAGACACCTGACAGGCTATGCGCATTTTGTTCTGGATGCTGATGGATGGATGTCCCCTTGCCGACTTGACGGAATACATTGAGAAAGCAGTTCCAGAAGTGAAGAGCGCCCGTGTATATTGCTGTTTGTTATGTTATGTCATCGTGAAATTTATAGTCGATGCAGCTGCCTATTATCACGGTGCTATGTATTCCGCGGGCTGGAGTAAAACATTTACGCGCATGAGTTTCCGTCTAATGTGCACAGCTTGTGATTATGTTTCTTCGTGATTAGAACCGAGTTGATTTCGAATGTTCATGCAGAAGAGCTAGCCTACAACAAAGCAGACTGGGCGAGAGGGGAGTAGCATCACCCATCAGAAAAAGCAATGCGCATAATTTCCAAAGCGTGCTGCAAAGGCCATGACATCACCTGTCAATTTTAAGGTTAGTGTACCTTGTGCCCTGAAAAGTGGCGACGAACGGGGTTCGGGAGGTATTATTAGGCCGGACCAGGTGGGCCCGCCTCTGGTTTCTCGCGATCGACTCCAAGTTTGGTGTAACCGGTTTGTTAAACGGCGCTAAGATGCGAAGCCGCCCGAAGGATCTGCAGATCTTACATGAATGATGATAGGAGGGTTTTTGCTTGTTAGGGGTCTCCGATGGATGAGAGAAATTATGTTTGCTGATGAAGTCATCATTATTCATTTTGGGTGTCTGTTCATGTGCAATAGACTCGATTTCTTGTTTTTGAATCTATTTTACTTTCACACGGCTACAGTCGCGCTGCAGGTCGCCTACTAGTACTCTACTAGACAATTCTATGACTCACTTTAACATGTTCGGTTGATTGAATTCTAGGTTTAAAAGAACTTAGCTTTGTGCGATTGATCTCAAGAGCAGAAATCGTTGGCATGTGAAGATGAAAAATGAGAGCTTTGCATGAACCTTGCCCGAAAGGGTAAAGGGTCGTTCAGCCCTAAGTACTTCCGAGGCTCGCATGTGAGATCGGCGGTTATCACTCACTATCAGCATTCAATTTGGATTCTTTTCCACGCACCAAGACCAAGGCAAAAGAAATAATAAATATAAATCTATGAAAATAATGAAAATGCAATAATCTATATCTATGTCAAGTACAAGAAATCCCAATTAATAAATGTGTTGAGTGACGAAAGAATTGTTGCGCAACGCAGATCGTCCGAGGTATCCACACATCCGATAGTTCAGAGCTTGAGCCGAGAAAATACTGATCGGGTTAAGTCTCCCGGGATCTGCGTCGAATCCTTCCCTGCCGTCTCCGAGCTCCCGACTCTGCGCGATTCAATGACGTGAAAGGGTCCTGATTTTTTCGGTTCCTCGTGCTAATGTAAAGGAGAGACTTTGGTTGTATATAAGGCCTGCCCTACCCACTGTGGATCTGGTTGTTCGCATCATTCTACAAGACAAGACACTCACTTGTCCTTCTTCATCTTGCTACACACACCTCATTACATAGCAACAACAACAACAAACATCGTCAAGATGCTCCGCTGGGTCTACCCCGTTCGAATCGTCCAAACCCTGCTCGCTCTAGCAGTAGTCGGGCTCACAGCATACGGTTCGTCTCCCTCCCTCCCCTATACTCACTCCCCTATACAGCCCAACCCAGCCAACCAGCTCAACCAAACCACCAACTAACTTACCCCCGTTTTATAGTAATCGCCTCTCTCCACGACTCATGGTCCTTCTCCAAAACAGTGGACTACATGCTCTTCGCCGGCTGCTGGACCGGCTTCGTCGCAGTCCCCTACCTCGAAGCCGCGCCGCTATTTTTCCCGCGCGTGTCGCACGAACTCGTGATTCCCTTCGTTGAGATCGTCACCTCCATGATCTGGTTCGCCGGATTTATCGCGCTGGGCGTATTGATTCCCTCGCCGAGCGAGTGTGTGTTTGAGACTTGTCATGCGCTGCAGGCTGTTGTTGTTCTTTCTTCGGTTCAGTGGTGAGTTTTGAATTCCTTTATTATTTCTTGCCGTAGGGGCTCGTTTAGGGAGGTCGTTTGGCTAATCGGATACCGGAATAGGGCCCTCTTCGCTGTGACGAATGTCTATGCTGTTCTCGATCTCGTGAACTCGCGACGCAAGAATACTCACCAGAATACCGCTGATGCTGAGGCGCCACCTGTCTCCGAGGTGAATGCTGAGCAGCCTGTTGCTTAGGCTTTTGGCCTCTTAGTGCATGTACCTGCTGAAGGATCTTGCTGCTTTCGACTCGATATACCGATATACACTTCTTAATAATGTTAATGGTTAATGATCCCTAAAAAGTGCTGTGGCCTTGCTATGCGATTGGTATAGGATTTACAACTTATTAATGGATGTGAGTATTGTTAATATGATATCTGATACATCATGCATGGACGCAACGGATGAAAATACTAGAGCAATTTCAACACAAATGGGCGACAAAAAGTGACTGCAATTAGATCGCTCCGCTAAACAGACTCTTTTTCAATCGAAGAGCAATAGATCAACCGAGGTAATAAAGACTAATATCGATGCACAAAATCCATTCATTTGAACCATCCGAGTTCATCGCGTACTTTGGTCGACAAACATCACTCATATAGCTGTGGTAGAGGCCCGGCATATCGTCAATCCCGTCACATATGTCCCTGCGGAGGAGCTTATGGTCATGGTCCTGGGACGCGGCAGACACCTGCGCAGAGAGAAAAAGAGCTATCAGAGCAAATGATCCATGCAGTCATAATGGCAGCAGTCACAATAGTAGCAGATGGTAAACTCTCAGATTGCAAGGCTGTCGTTCGTTTTGGCCCCAAGACAGCGCGTCACGAGAGGCTCAACTGGGCACGGCCATTGGGCTGGCGCTAGTCCCAGGCGGGTTGGCTGAGGACTTGGCTAGGTTAGCATTACCTGCGATCTACTTACATTTTGGGATTGCCTAATACAATGTCGTACCCACTACTTTGGGGTAGTTTTGCATGTTTTCTTCCGTGATGCTGTAGGAAGGAACATAACTTAATGGGTACCCGGGTGGGCGACAACCTTGCGTTTCAGGGGACAAACCCCTCAGCGAAATTAGATGCGACAATGTAGGCCGTATATCTGCAGCCTGCGGCCTCAAGGATTTTAGTGATGATCAATACGAGAACGATATTTCCTGCGGCGAGGATCAACATAATCCGCTCACAATCACCCTCACATCATCGACCCGCACATTATGTAGAACCCATTTTGGACAACACATCGGAAAAACATCAACATTGACTGTACAATAATCTCAATTTCATTAAGAACACGCCTAGACAAAGAAAGCAGACCGCCGCCCATCCAAACGCTTTTCCCAGAAGAAAATAAAAGAGAATAAAGATCACACGACTCATAAGAGAAGATCCCGCACACTCATCCCCCTACTACTCCGATGATCCTCCATCATCTTGTCCTGACTCTGGCTCGAAGTCGAAAGCACCGTGCTCCCAGAGAAGCGATCACTAATCGAATCGGCCGTGCCTCTCCGGTCCCGCGTCAACATCAGCAACGCCGCGGATGCCTCATGGTCAATATCCATATTTGACGTTTGTGTCGGACCCAATGCCGGGCTCGGGAGCACGGATGGTGCATCTGGCAGAGCCGGCGCCGAGGGGACACTCGTGCGAGGGGAGAAGGATGGCGATGTGTCGTAGAACTGGCCCGATGGCGGGGCCAGTTCGGGAGATGCAGATACAGATGCGGAGGCGGAGAAAGAGTAGACAGAGGGAGCTGAGTGGTGGTAGAAGGTGGTATGCTGCATCGAGTCTGCATTGGCTTCGCCAGCGAACTCGGGGGAGGTCGGCGAGGGAGGCGTGGCAGACTTGTCTGCTGACTTGAGATCCTGGATACATTGTTCCAGGTAATTGACGTAGTCAATGCTTGCCTGTACGGTGGTGAGCATATGGGATAACCAGCAAGGATCTAAAGCGACACGATGGGCAATACATACCTGAAGAATAGCCAGCTTGTGCATCTCCTGTCCCCGACACGCGGGAATCATATCCTTCAGCGTGCCAAACTCCTCATTCATCTTCGACCGCCGCCGGCGCTCGATCAGGCTGTGTGCCGTTTTGCGGGCGATCTTGCGACCCGCCGCGCTGGTGGTACTCGGCTGCTTCTTTTTGGAAGTAGTCGAGCCATTAGTAGCCGGGGCGTCAGATGGCGCCTGGGCTGCTGCCACCTTTCCATTCTCCTTTTTGTTCACTGGAGACTTGGATGATGATGACGATGATGTCGGGGCCGCCTTGGGTTTCATCTGAATGATCTTGCGAGTGCGAGTTGGGGGTGGCGGTAGATCCAGGTCCTCGAGGGGACGCTTGGGAGGATGATTGTTGCGCCCACGAGCCACGAGATCCGGGGACGCCGGCGAGGCAGGGATATAAGTGGGGTCTGATCGCGAGGACCGACGACTACTGGCGGCGTCCAGGGCCGCGGGCGGCAGGACCAGGACGTCGGTGGCATCGCAGGGCTGGTCTTTGATGGTGAATTCGCCGGACATGGCTGGAGTGGGAGGGAGACGGGACGACATTCTTGACATGTTGGGAGAGAGGAGGGGAGGAGAAGAACAGGTTACTCTATTTAACAGGAACGAATGGTATACATGTGGTCGCGTGCCTGGATACAAGGTGTGCTCCTACACTGGCCCCTGATTGGCCAGGGACAGAGTGTGGTCGGAGCGGCGCATGGTATTGGATTAGATAAGATGCCTGAGGCTGCCATGGTGGATCACGGGTTATGATTGGCGGCAATGCTTCTTGCATCGCACGTACTCCTGCCCGCTAGAGGGACGGGGTCAGTCGTGAACGGGGGGTCAGTCGCGAACGAGAGCGGGCGGGCTCTTACCAGAACACTTTGTCCGCAGGCCCGGCCACGACGCACGTCTCGACCGCCAGGGTACATAATTCCCGGCATTGCATCACATCCTCAACATTGGCGTCGTGGCGGTGGGGTTCCGTGCTGTTCTTGCCATGCCCGTGGGTCGTGGTCATGGGCGACCCCGGATGATTGGTAGTCGTGCCGTTATGGGCGCTGGTGGTTGCGTTGGTCCCGTTGGAGGAAACGTGCACGGGCAGGCGGATCCCGTGGTACGGACCTGAGCGATGGGGCATGGCGACCACGGTGGGGGCCAGGGCGGCCAGGCACACGATCAACCGGTACACATGTAATTGCATCCTGGGAGAATAGTATGGGACGAATGATGGCAGAACTGCTCCGGATCCGCCATTGCTTTTTATTTTATAGGTTCCATGACGCGGAGCTGGGGGTCACTGGAAGTATACAGCAACTGTCACGGCCGATCCAGCATTCCACATTCCAGAGAGACGTGTGAGCCGCTGCCACCAAAGTCTTGTTGGCAAGAGCCTCCTTAGTAATTGCATACGACACACTGAGACAAGATGCATTGTTGGAGCCTGCCGGAACGGGAGTGTTGATATCTCAAGAGTACATTCCATTCATGTCGGCATGAATGATAGATACTCGTGCTTTGACTTTCTTACTTATATGTTCCCTCCCTTACTTAATGATGGATATTTCTCCATCCTAATGATCTTCTCTGGAGAACGCGCACCATATATATTCTGTAGTCTATCTCGGTGTATCGACATGCCCAGTCCATCTTCTAATGCCCAAGAACGAAGCACATAGACCTATATTCAACCCCACCAAAATATACCCTACCCAAACAATTTCTGCAGAATAATCTGCCCAAACGTCGTCTCTGCAGGCGAACCATGCATCCTCAGAATCCGATTCCCAGCGCGCCGACTCAGCCACAAGCCATGATCACTCGAGCTCTCCTCATCACCCTCAACACGGTGCCGACTCCTTCGATCAACAACACACATACCCCGCGTCCACTGACCCTGCGTCTCGACCCGGATATCCTCAGGCGAGGAGTCCGACGCCACCCAGTGCGGATCCTCGGCTGTCAGCGCGTACCACACGCACACGGGGTCATGCAGACTCAGCTGTGCGTCATCGCCGACATGCCCGGGGTGCAGGCGCTCCAGGGTGCGGAAGGTGTGCCCCATAAAGGCGGAGACCCATTCGGCGAGCGGGGAGCCGGCGTCGACGAGTGGGGAGACCGTCTTCCGGAACGCGCCGCGCGAGAGGTTGTGACGCAGCGTGATGTCCAGTGGGAAGAGTCGTAGCGTCAGTGGTCGGCTTAGGTTCTTGGGGTAGGGCGGGAGGCGCACGCTGGTCGTTGGCGGGAGAGTCGTCTGTGGGTTTGGTGAGGTTAGAGCGAAGACTCGTGCTGCGGCGACGGCGTCGGCGTAGGTGTTGAATTCGCCCATTGGCGTGACCTAGTGCAGAGCATTGTCAGTGTTTGTTGCGTATCTATTATTTGGGAGGGGATGGACTGACATTGCCGGGCACGTTCACCGTACCACCCATGACAACCACTTCCTTCACGCGCAGGAAGGTCTCGGGGTCCTGCGCTGCCGCCAGTGCTAGATTCGTGAGGGGGCCGACGGCAACGAGCGTGACCGTGTCGGGTTCATTGTCGCGCAACGCGCGCAGAATCTCCTCGTGTGCGGGCTTTTTCGACGGGATGAACATGTGTTCGTCAATGGCACCGCCGGTCTGGACAGCTTCGATCCCATCGTCTCTGGTAATGGGATCAAACAGATGTTCCCAGGCTTGAGCGGGGGTTAAGTGCGGATGCTGCGGTAGACGGTCAGTTGATTTAATTTGTAGATTCCAGCAGGAACACATACACTGGCATGGATACCCCCGAGCCCGTCCGTTCCATCTGTCGGAAGAATGTTAGAAAAAAACCCGTGGTGCTACATATCCATGGCCATTACATACGGAAGTAATCCGCCAGCATCTTCTGGTCTTCAAGGGGGTCCTCTGCGCCCACCGCGACGGTGGGCTTGAAGGCCCGCAGGGCGCCAAAGCCCTCAGGCTGCCCTTTGTCGCGGCGCCACTGCATCTCGCGCTCAAGAATATGGAACATAGAAACGACATTGCGGAGGCAGCTGGATGTAGTCAGCTACTGTTCATCAAATGCAGATGGTGCAACTTACTTCCGCACTTCGATGTTGCCAAACGTCAGCGAGATGAGCAGCACCTCAACCTCCTCTGGGCTGGCGGACAGGGCCAGCAGGAGGGCGAGGATGTCATCGATGCCCTAATATCTGTCGTTAGTACAGACATCGTGAAAGGATCGTCGGTCATACACACCGGATCGGTATCAATGATAATCTTCTTCTTCGCCATGGCGTTGTTGACAGGTGTATGATGAAAGTGGGTGAGTGAATCGGTTATCGTTGTTATCGGCTGGCTAGCTCCACTTCGCCAAATGTCACGCTGTTCCTGACCGAGCACCCACTGAACTAACACCCACCACACCTAGTAGGCCCTGGAGACCGTGCATCGGGGTCGGCACGGCCTTCCGGCCCCTCGTGGCATTGGCCACTGCAAGGGATGGGGAGAAAAAGTCAATGCCCCTGCCGGATTGTCGCGCACGTCCTAGGATATGATGATAGAAACGGAGAAATACACAGTTTAGCGCGAAGAAAGCGGAGAGCTGTAACTAACTAACGAGACGTGGCCTGTTCGTGGCCGGAGTTTCGCATAATTATTACTTCTAGGCAGCTGTCATTCACTACCTCGTTGGATATCACTAACTATATGGAGTGCTAGTCGGGCGATCCTGATCTCTAGGGATCACCTAGGTCTCGTATTACCAGGGTATGGCCATAGCTAAGCATTCCCAGGGATCTGGCCCACGCTGGCCAGTAGGCACAATTAGCGACGAGGCAACTGAGACCGCCATCGTGGCAGGTAGCGAGGAACTAGTGCTGAGGCCTGGTCCCAAGGGTGGTGAGTTGAGGTGCAGTGTTCCAGGCCATACACGTACGATACCGTAACTAAACACCCCTTTGGATCCTCGTGTCCTTTTCTCATCTCCTTTCCCCATCTTCATTTGTTCCTCTCCTTTGATCTTTGTTCCTTTCCTTTCCTTTCGCTTTCTCTCCTGCGCCAGGGCCTACCGTGTCCATGCTCGAGTGACCTTTTTGCTTGTTCTTCCTTCCTCCCTCTCTGAGCGCAATTCCCCACCACCTTCGGACAAGAAGAATTGCCGCAACACCTCCATCATCGACTCTCGCTGCGAGCCAACCGACTCCCCCAACCAACAATCCCCCAATCAGTTCCTCCGCCTCCGCCCTTTCAGTCTCCATGCTGGCCTGAGTGCGCTCTACATCGCCTAGCATACTCCCCGTTTCCTTTGTACGAATCCGAATACGTTTCCTCAATCACCACCATTCACTTCTCCAATCGACGGAGACCCTCCCGACGAACTCCCTTTTCACAACCGGTCTAGCTTTCTTCCCTAGAGTATGTGCTACGATTTACCATCCACCCACGAGCGATAATGGTACTGACTGATGAGTGCACAGCTCAACGACCATGAACCCCTACATCAGTTGGGCAATCCTGCTGGTTGTGGCTGGCGGCCTGGGCTGGTATTACACGAATGGCTCCCAACCCAAAGCCAAGGCCGCCATGAAGGCCGCCGTGGAGAAAACCGAGGCCACGGTGGCGCCCAAGAAACAAAAGCGCAGCAAGCCCAAGCCTGCCCCGGAAGCGGCCAAGAAGCCCGTGGTGAAGACCGTGGTGTCGCCTCCAACCACCGAGGATGAGAAGCCGGACGAGGATATTGACCAGAAGGAGATGGCGCGACGCCTGGCCGGCATCAAGAACGGCACCTCCCAGACGGCCGCCAAAGGCGAAAAGAAGAAGAAGACCAAGAAGGCCGCCGCCGTTCCGCTTGAGAGCAATGCCTCGTCCACCACCGGCGCCGATGCAGACGACGATCTGTCTCCTGCGGTCTCGCCCGTGGTGAACGCCGTGCCTGCGGCTGGATACGTGTCCGATATGCTGGAGGCCCCTGCCCCCGGAGCGTCTGTGCTCCGGGTCACGGGCAACGTGGAGAGCGAGCCCAAGAAGCAGAGGGCGCAGACCTTTAAGCAGGTGGAGACCAAGAAGCAGCGCCAGAACCGCCTGAAGAACGAGGCGCGGAAGCAGCAGGTCCAGGAGGCCGAGGAGCAGCGCCGGAAGCTGCTTGAGAAGCAGATGCACTCGGCCCGGGAGTCCGAGCGCCAGACCGCTGCTCGGTCAACTCCGCCCCCCAGCAACGCTTGGCAGACTAAGGAGGTCAACGCCTCGCGCCCCGCCGTCGCCTCCGCCCCCGTCGAGCTCCTGGACACTTTCGACCCTGCCCCTGCGGCGCCGGCCCCGAAGAAGTGGTCCCTGGGCCTGCCCTCGGAGGAGGAGCAGATGCGCATGCTGGGAGCCAACGATGCCGAGGACGAGTGGACCACGGTCTCTAAGAAGCAGCCCAAGAAGAAGGGCGGCAAGGCCGAGGAGAGCGTGAGCGACACATCGGAGAGCCAGCCCACCCCTGCGGCTCCCATGCCCGTTGAACCACGCGTCACGGTGAAGCCCACCTACCTGCCCGACATCCTGCAGTCGAGTGAGAAGGGCCACCCCTTGGACTCGGACTGGGCCGCATGAAGTGGAGGAGGCATTTTGGACTTTTTTCTTCTCTCTCCCGTCTATATGCCGTTTTCTCCTTCACCTTTGACTTGTATTTACTACCTCCTTGATTTGGCTTTGGGCGTTTTTTCGGGGTGTCCCATAATACCAGCACGCTCCCCTCCGCCGCGGGCGGGGCCTGGGCCGGGTTGATCATAGCGTATTGTCTGTTGACTCTTGGTGAATCCTCCCTCGCTCGGCTTTGCGGGAGAAGCAGGGGGGCAAAAAGCGTGGAGGGACTGTTTTGTATGTTGAGACTGTGTATCACAATGACACTGGGCTACTATTCAACTGTCTGTTCGATCCTAACACCTCAATCCCCGCCCCCAGGATGGTGTTGTATAGAATGTCGTCACTATGCCCAATGCGGTTAGCGTCGAGTTCCTAACATCGTGGCCTGAAAAGGCGTCTTGTACACAATTTGGACTCCACCCTGTATTTACTCCTCCAAAAACTCCATCTCATACCACTTGCTCTCTCTTCCACCTCTTTACCTCCCCATACCCCTTCCTCGACCACTCCCCCGCCATGGCCCAAATCCGCGGCACTGCGGGCTACAACCTCGGCCACCAGAACCCGTTTGGCGGGCCCGGTAGCGCCGATGCCACCAGCGACCCCAGCCCGCTGGATGCGATCCGTGAGCAGACGAGCAAGATTGAGGACTGGCTAGATATGATGGCGGACCCGGTCAAGCCGTATGTTGTTTCCCTGGGTGTTCTCGCGAGGGCACGACCAGCTCCCAAACAAAGCCCAAAACAAGGGATCGAGGGTATGCGTTGACTGACACGGTGTTCAATTTGCTCCCTCCAGGTACCTGCCCGCCATCGGCCGTTTCCTGATCGTGGTCACCTTCATCGAGGACTCGCTGCGCATTCTCACGCAATGGAGCGACCAGCTACTCTACCTTAATGATTACCGGAAGAGTAAGACGCCCTGGTGACCGTCGGACAAAGAGTGTCCCAACCGCCCTTACCAACCCCCGAACTAACATCCAATGCCCTGTCTACAGTTCCCTGGGGAATCACACACCTCTTCCTCATCGTCAACGTCATCGCCATGGCCGTCTGTTCGACGCTGGTGATTGCCCGCAAACACACCGAGTATGCTGTAGCCGGCCTGCTGGGTGTGGTGATCACACAGGGACTGGGCTACGGCCTGATCTTCGACCTGAACTTCTTCCTGCGCAACCTGAGCGTCATCGGCGGTCTGCTCATGGTGATCTCGGACTCGTGGGTGCGCAAGAAGTTCGTCCCCGCCGGCCTGCCTCAGCTCGATGAGAAGGACCGCAAGATGTACGTCCAGTTCGCTGGCCGCGTGCTGCTCATTTTCCTGTTTGTGGGCTTTGTCTTCTCGGGCGAGTGGAGCTTCTGGCGTGTGATTGTTAGCCTGTTTGGATTCGTGGCTTGCATCATGGTCGTCGTTGGCTTCAAGGCGAAGTGGAGTGCTATAATTTTGGTTGTGCTTCTGAGTGTGTTCAATGTCTTTGTGAACAACTTCTGGACGGTATGTTTCTTGTCTCATCGTGTCCCTTGTACCCTCAAACTAACAACTGTGTCTGTCCAGCTCCACCCCCACCACCCGAACAAGGACTTTACCAAGTACGACTTCTTCCAGATCCTGTCCATCGTGTAAGTCTCACCTGTTCCGTTGAGCCTCCTATTCTAACATATCGCAGCGGCGGTCTTTTGCTCCTGGTCAACATGGGCCCCGGCCAGCTCAGCATGGACGAGAAGAAGAAGGTCTATTAGGAGGACAAAAATGCAGAGGACATGGAGGGGGAAAAACACGAAATCTGAATGATCTGAATGTCTCTTCTATATATCTCATGGCAAATTGCATCCGTCCGACAAACTGAGCGGGGAGGGAGGGCAAATCGGTGGAAGAAAGGAAGAGAAGACACGATTTATTGGAAAGAACGACAACCCAACTCGCTCTTTGCCTTGTTGGGCAGTGAGAATCTATATCAAAAACATATCCCGCCCCCTACTCCTTCAACCATGTGCGCCCTTGGGAAATATGAGAGGTGGTCGTGTGTTCGGCGCTCGTTTTATTTTGTTGGCTTGTCAGAGGGAGATCAGGAGAGAGAGTAGCGAGATATTTACTTTTTTGAAATCAACAGCCCCAAGGGAATTTATATGATATCTTGCATTGGTTTTCCTCATGTGTCTGGTAGTGAAATCGCTTTATGTTGTTTCCCCCTTCTCTGCAACTAGGACCCGGGCAACATCGTCTGCGATGTTGTAATCCATGACTTTGCGAATTTGGCCAGTCATCAGACTGGGGAAAAATCCTATACCGATTGTGTCAGTATTATCTGGGGAGAGATCTCGAAGGACATTCTTACCCATCACTTTCATGATAGCGTACATCGTGTATTCTCTGAACACACTCATATCCCGCTTATTGCTCTGCATTTTCTGGGCAGCTTTCAAGATAGCTGTGACACGCGGTTCACGCAGGCCCATATATTTGGCCGCGGCTGCTTTGATAGCGCGCTTTTGATCTGCCAGACTCATGGATTCTTGAGTTTGGCCTGCCTCTCCGAGGTAATGAGCCAACAAAAGGGCAAACGCTTCAACATCTTCCAAAGCCTGCGAGGCGCCCTGTCCAGAAGTCGACGGCAGGGCATGAGCTGCATCACCCACTAGAACAACCCCGTCACGTTCCCATGTCGGGAGCGGAGGTGAAGTCCACGTCGCATACATGTTCGTCACGTGAAGCGACCCCAGAATCTTCCGAACAACGGGGTCTTTCCAGTGTGCATGTCTCTCCTGCAGCTGGCGGTTCACAGCGGCCATGTCAAGTGTATCGCGGTCGGGACATTCTTCAATCTCGTAGGTTGACCACCAGGCGAGGGAGTCGCCTGGTTCGGAGACGTGATACGGTGAGTCTCGATTCTTTTCCGAAGCTGCGCTCTCGGAGAAGAAATATCCGAAGAACCCATTGCCGCCGTGTATGAAGTTCATAGAGCCTTTCTCGACAAGACCTTTCACTTCGGCAGAGGGGATGAATCCTCCAATCCCGACAAGACCCCTATACAACCAGGTGATCAGCCCAGCACTTCTTCCAGACCGTCCGCTATAATGCAAGCACTAAAGTAAATACTCACTCGTATTGAGGAGGATAAGGTTCTTCCTCGGCATCCGGAAACAAGGCCCGCTTGGCCGTACTTCGAATGCCATCCGCGCCAATGACCAGATCAGCCTCAACTGGTGGACTGCCATCGACAAAACGAATCACATTCCTCTTATCAGCATGAGAAACAACTTCGAGGATTTTCTTGTTAATAATCCGATCATCCGGGATACGTGTACGCAAGGCCTTCCAGAACGAATGGCGGCTGCACGCCACCATGTGCATCTTCTCGGGATCATCGCCACTCTCGTCATTGGGCGTTGGCTTCATGCACAGCAGCGTGGAGCCATTCTTGTTTTTTAGATTGGACGTCGATACCACGTAGCCGCCGCGTACAACATCCCGTAGGAGATCCTCATCCAGACGTCGGAGGACGTTGAGACCGTTCGGGGCGATGCCGAGGCCTCCGCCAACTATGAGAGTTGAAGAATGCGTGTTTCCCTCTCCCTCGTCGCGTTGATCTGCAGTGACATTCACATCTGTGCTGTATGCTTCGTAGATGGTAATCTCATGGTTTGCCTCCGAGTCCGAGGACGGAAGATGTTTGTGTAGCTCAAGGTACGCCGCGCATCCGGCGATGCCGGCACCAATTATAACAATCTTCATTGGGATATTGGTGTCTGAGTTTGAGGAATGTCAAACGGAATGACAGGAACGAAGGGAATGAACGATGAAAGAATTTGAACCGAAGGTATAAGTACTGGCTGGGTCGTATACTTCGCCGATCACGAGGACCCGCCTTTTTAGGCGCTAGTTCGCAAATCTAACCGGATACGGTTAGGTCTACTCATCCAATTGTTCTCCGTGGCCAATCACCTTATAACGCCTTCTTGCTGTACTCTCAAGGTGCTGATGCCCAGAGAACTTTTCTTTTTTTCTTTTCTTTCCATACGAAACGCAGTCCTTTTGCCCTTGGAAATTCAGGCATCATCAAAGATCTAGGCAGCAGTGTAAAATAAGTATTTGCCACGCATAGAGCTGGACTTGCAATGCGCCAGTGTTGCTTTCTTGATCTATGGCATTATCTCCAGTGACATGTACCAAAACTAGATCCTCATAATGTCTAAGGGGCCCTCGTACTCCAATTATGCAATTATTTTGTGACCTAAACCCTCTGCAAGAAGTTCAGGCTTGTGCAGACGAAGCACGTAGGCAGCTATATTCGCGAAGAGCTCGGTGGAGGTGGTTGAGGAGCTTGCTGATTGCTTATCCTGGGGGCTCTCTTCTCGCCCGGGTGGACTCCAGATACTGAGGATTTTGAATGGAAAGCCCACCATAATAGAGCCCCGACTAGAAGTCGGGTCAGGAATCGCCGAAATAAAAGCCTTTGCCGACAGGATCGAATGTGCATGTCGCTGGATGCGTTCTTCGTATAAGTATGCGGACGATGACACAAGGAATAGAAGGCGAAGGGCGATGATGTTTGCAGAATCATAGAGTGCAAACAGTGCAGCTGTAGGCATATCTGAGTGGGGGAGGATTGGAAAATAATGGGGATCAAGACAGCGACTCTCGGGATCTTCGCTGGTGGCCTCCATCCATCTCTCCGGGTTGGGTTCGCCAATATTGGCCATGGATATGCATCCTTTCCACCAAATGTGTAGCTGGGATATTAGCCCCAGCACTAAAGTTTTCAATCTTTGCCTTACGGCATCAGCCTTGTCGCCGTGGGCTTTGATCAGTTCATCCGCAACTGTCAAGCATGACAGCAAAGAGAAAAGAATGTCAACGAGATAGTCAAATGGCCCTTTTGGATGGAGTTCAAATGGAACCGATTTCCATTCGGGCGTAGAGAAGACATGGCCCTCATTTTTAACAAATGACGCAGCAAACTGAGGGTTAAAAGAAATGTCAACTTATTTTCAGAACTGATAAGACATCTTGACTTACGGTTAACAGCCGCAGGTGACGAAATAGCTGGTGTAGAAACCCATCTCGACAACTTTCTGGGCCTCCGGTCTCAAGCATCATAGACGCGCCCTGAACGTGCTGATACCAGGCTCCTTCTGATGTACCGGCTAAACTTTCAAAGTGGGTAAGCATTACAGCAGCACAAATCACATCCCCGGTGAACGGCGAGGCATTTTGTGATAAGACATCTTGAAGACCCTGTAGAGCCCTCATGTACCACTTGCATGCTTCTGTTCGAATTGCGACATCCTGCGCCAGGGTGCCATAAAAGAACATCGACCCGGCACGAATAGAGTGCTTCACAAGATCGGGAACCGGTGAGACGATGAACACAGAAAGTTTATCTAGCCATGTTGGAGATGGGCTGACTGAGACGGATGCCCTGAAGCCAAATGACTCGATGAAGTGGGAGACAAATAGCTGGTCGAAGATGTCGGCACGACCAGGCTGCTGAAGTGACAAAGGTGAAGGGCTTGGCGTTGGTGAAGTTGTTCCATGGCTACTTGGGCTGAGAATAGGCTCGCACTTCGAGTTCAGCGGCCTTCGCTTCGCGGAGGATCTGCTTAATGGTCGCTCTGGGAGAGCGTGCACAAAAAATGCACCCGTTCGAGCCCCAGGACAGCATAAGCCGGCCTTTTTGCATTGCAAGCACTCTGGGAATGACTCGTCACACTGGAGAAGATGTTAGATCACGCACTCAAGGCTCACGCTGGATGGCCAGACCTTGATCTTGCGCCGACGACACGTCGAGCAGCCCTTGCTTCGGCCTGAGACATTGACCATGGCCCCAAGTGGCACTCTACAGCACAGAAATAATTAACGCGTCTCACATTTACGCGTGAACTTGCTCGTGGGACAATTTGTGGTAGTAGGAGATAAAGTTGCATTTCTGCCTGAAGTCGATTCGCTCATAACGTAATCCCGCTAGCGACGCCACTCGAATGCCTTCGTAGATACATAGTCTTCTATTATTCAGTTCGAAAAGTCTAGGGGGATAGCTCAGTGGGGAAAGAGACAAAACTCAAGGCAAAAGAAAAATTCCGCCCTCATCATTGCCCCATAGTTTGCTCCAAGACCTTCCGTAATGTCGCCGTCAATGCCATGATCTTCACGACAGTCATGTTCTAGGTAGATTTTATTCAAGTGCATGAAAATGCTATCGCATTAGGCATTTATAGAGGCTAATTTCTATTTATAGTAGTGGCTGTTGCCATGTACAGACAAGAAATGTATTGAAATAAAGGACCTGGGGCGAGATGGGCAAAGAAGAGAGATAGACTAAACAGCCAAAGACGGGTGATGATAAAGGTGTTGAACCTTTATGTTACAAAACACATTGGGATCCCAATCTACACAGGAGATTTGTGGTACTGCTGCAAAGGTACGTTTGCAACGTCGGCCTTGATCTGCAATGCCACAAATCTGGAGAAGTATCTAGCATGTCCAATGGCACCGCCAGTATACCATATACCCGGACCTAGATATAGAGACATGGATGATTAGACAAATAGATCTGTGTGAGGTACTTGAGTAACTTACAATTCATTGGCTTCCATGCTCCGCGGATCTCACCCTCCTCGTCAACTCCGAAGAAATCTTCCAAACGGTCTGCGACATCATCCCCGACTATACTGGCTGCCGTAGTGCGCATATTGTCTTCGAAACCAGTGCAGAAAACTATAACGTCTGCATCTAGTTGGGATCCGTCACTAAATTCAAGCCCAGTGGGTGTGTAAGCGATGGGTGTCACGTTTGACTTCATTTTGATCTATCTAATCATTAGTGTTGTAGTAGTTACTTAGGGATAGGTGAGAGGGACATACAAGGCCAGCAGAAATCTTTGCAGAACATCCGACATCAAGATAATGGCCTCCCTGTCGGACAACGAGGAAATCGAAAGGGTCACAATATCGCCGTACTAAAAAGCCGGCACGCTCTAGGGCATCGAATCTTTCTTGGTCTTTGTCAACCTTAGCTCGAATATTTTTCATGGCAATCTGTCGAGTGACAGCAATAGGTAGGGAAAATTGGATTCTGTCCGCAGTCTCTGTCGGGATTTTGAGGTTGTAAATAGCTAGCCAAAATATCAGCTGTGACCAATGTTTGTAGCAAAAGCAAGGCTATTGCTTACCATCATGGCCGAGGTATTCAGCCGGAATGACATCTGTCTTACTTTTAGCGTAAGTCTACGAATATGTTAGCATGACAACCGTTTACCTGTAGCTTTTCGCTGCACCATAGTAACCAACTCCAGACCAGCATCAAGCATATCGCTCGCAACATCGTGGGCTAAGCAGATGCATCAGACTCTTTGGATAATTCACTCCTCGAGCGACTTACCTGTGTTGGCGGAGCCGATTACAACTCCTTTCTTTCCCTTCCATGCCTTGGGTGATTTATAGTCTACGGAATGCAGTACTTCTCCATGAAATAGTTTCTATACAAGCTTTTGTTAGTTCATATATCGATATAAATCGTGATTTTGAAGCTTACCCGGTTTGAAAGTGCTGGCATCTTTGGTATCTGACCAGAACCAGTGGCCAGAACAAGATGACGAGCACGGATGACAGATATATCAGGAGAGCCATTTTGTCTGGCATTTAGCACCCATGTGCTCTCTTTCTCATCCCGGGAAGCTGACTCGAGAGTGGTATTCAGCCATACATTCTGGAAATGTATTTTAGAATTATGGTCAACATATCGCTTTGCTCTGCTTAGGAAGACTTACAATTCCATACTGACTAACATATTTTTTATAGCCACGGGCAAGATCTTCCCGCGCAAGGAAACGAGGATCTTCTTCTGGAAAAGTACGTGAAAACGGGAGGTGGCCTTGGTGCCATCATCAGTTTTGCAGCAGTAATAATTCGGTACAGAAGATGTGATCGTACCGTATTCTCTTATCGTATGGACTGGAGGAGACAAAATTAGCCACCTATTCATGCTTCAAGCGAAAAGAATGGGAGAAATCACTCACGCCGTGCAGAGTCATATCGATTTATCCAGTTGTCACCGATATGATCATTCTGCTCGAGTATAACATATGACACTCCAAGTGCTTTAAGGCGACCGGCAACGCTTAGTCCTGCCATTCCTGCGCCGACTATCACGCAGTCGAATGTAGATAATTCTGGAATCTCCAAGCAGAGAGATTTAGGTATCGCAGATTCGGTTTCCGGCTCGGGTTCGAGAATATCACAGCTCGGATGAGCCTTGATCTGTTCTAGAACCGTGCTTAAAAGCCACACCTTCCAAATACCATCTCCTGTGGGAACAAGGCCGATGAATCCTGATCCTAGCACCTCTGGTATGCTACCTCTTGTTTCAAAAGTAAATCTTCCTTGAATCCAGGCGTGGTCAGGACCAACTCTCATAACTAGCGACGAGTCAGGGATAAAGCGAAAGTTCTGCGGATGATGTTTGTCCGCGAGCTCTTTCCACGCCGAGGACACAGTATCAGAGCCATAGAATGTCCTAGATGTGCCCGTGAGAGCCCAGAGATCTCTCCATAATGCCCCCTCTGTGAGAGACGTGGCATCTAAGGATTCGAGTTTCTCAATGGCTGAACGGACGGCAGAGGCATGGTCAACCTCGTCCAAGATGACGACCTCAGGGAGAGCGCCTTTCAAAGTTCCAAGAGGAACAGCTTGTTTTCGCTGAACATAAGAGCCCATTTTTGCGATCTTTTCGTTTTCCTTTTTTCTGGGTATCTCGAATGTTAATGAGAAAACTTCGCCGGGGGCCTCATTCGGGAAAGGAGAATGAGGGGCGCAAGTATACGCTCCCAATCTGAAGTACCGATGAGAGGGGAAGCCCATACCTCCTTAGATAATCATCACAAAAGATACTTAGTTGTCAACGGTGAAACTTGCCGTTCGGAGCTTCTTCACGATAGTACTCCATAGCTTAGATGTCACCAAAATTCTCCAAGGCATCGAATATCTCTTGTAACTTCCTTCAAAATAGGTTTAACCACTTCTATTTGTCTACATAATATGCGAGAATTCCAGATTTGATAATTTTTGTATTTATACTATGTATGGGTATCCCCCGCTTCGGTGGGAAGGATTATGATACAAGAAGAGAAAGGAAGGGTGGTGTGTAGGTATAGCAGAGGGAGGAAGCGAACCAAGGATCAAGCTGAACCGAAAAAAAGGAAATGAGAAAGAGGTGTCAAGAGCCAATGTGGCAAGGAGGGAGGGTGGAATCATCATAATTCCAAAAATCAAAGGAGGCAAAGTGCTTTGTCTGACCGTCATGCTCTAACTGCACTGAAGCAGTGAACTGAAATATTCCATTCTCTATCCTTTCGTCATGTCTGACCTTTTCTTGATGTACTGGGCCAGCCAGAGACAAACAACTCAGAGCTTGACGGAATAAGATTGGAAGGTTGTTGGGCAGGCAAATAGAAACCCCGGGGGAAAAAAAAGACAAAATGCTCGCTGCTCTTTTCGCTTGAAACGCCGAGTAGCCAAGAAACAAAACTCCAGCTTGGAGGTGAAGGCGAAAGAAAAAAGTCTAGGTGATGTGTCAGGCGAATAGGAGGTGGAAGGTGGGAGGTCTTAGTGAGAAGACCGGGAGAGTAGGCGCCGCGGAAAAGCCATCAAATATCCATGCTCCAGCGCCATGGGCGGATGCGTTCGAGTTGGCCGAGTTCGACGTCGTCGCGGGCATCATCGCTTATCTCCACCTGCAGCATATGGATCTTCTTGTTGTCTCGCTGTAATGTAGACAAAGTTTTGGAGATCTGCTGCCGCGGCAGTTTGCCGCTATCATCGGTGGCCTTGGAGTTTGGTCTGGTGTCAGGGGTATCCGGGTGATTCCATGAGACGGTAGGCGAGTGGCCGTCAGAGTTGGCCATGGAGAACATCGAGTCGGAGCGGTAATGAAGTGTGGTGTGATGGTCATCGTACAGGGCACTCTCGGATTTGAGGCGGGTCATGGATGGCCGACGGAGCAGATATGAGCCATCAAAAGCCCCATCACCGGCCTCGTTGCTGCTTCGCACCGCGCTCTTTTCGTTGGGGTCCACGTTCTCCTGGATCAGGCGAGGATAGCGTTTGTCATCGCCAATATTGTCACTGGCGGCCAAATTGAATCGTTCTTTTCCAGCCATGACGCGGGCAGTCGGTGGTGGTTGCAACATCCACCGGGTCTCAGCACGATTGCGCGGTCCGCTGACAATCGGCGGATGGAGGTCGTTAACAGGTGGCACACGGGCGATATAATATTTCGACGACTCGTTCGGATCCGCGCGCCCACGACCCGAGAACCCAATCGACGACCCTTGCACTTCCTGACCCCAAAGCGGCTCATCTTCCCGCTGATACCGCATCCAATTATTCCACCGCTCGCCCAGAGGATGCATCAAGCTTCCGCTCCTATCTTTCTTCGTCAACGAGTCCTGGTTTTCCTGGTCGGTATTCCAACTATCGGCGCGCCGAACATTATTGCGTTGCCCGCCTCGTCGAGCTGGGGGCCCGGGACCCAGGGCGATTTCATCTCGCCAGCCGTCATTCGTGCTGAAGGGCGTAGGCTGCGGGAAGGGGCGCGGCTGGTCGGAGACGAGGTGGGTATGGTGGTCGCTATATTTATCCTTTAGGCGCTGGGAGCGGGCAGCATCCTTCTTGCGTTTCCGGCGATCAAAGCTGCTGGCGCAGGGGGTGCAGGTGACATAGTAGAAGACGGCCGACTGCGCGCCGCGGTAGAACCACATGGCCACGCGCAGGGAGGCGGGAGGATTTTCAGAAAAATCAGACCGAGCTTACTGCCCACGAGGACGGCTGGGGACCCGGTATTGGTTCTGTGTTGTTCTGCAGCGATAATAAGGACCACATGAAGGGCTGGGGATGGCGCGGATAGGGGGGGCGGATGGACGCAGAGAGTGCAGAATGGGAGGTCGGCCAGCGACCTGGATGGTTCAAGGGGTGATCAGATTAGAGGGAGAAGGAAGGAGAGAGGGAAAAGGAAAAAAAGAGAAAGCGAGAGAGGGAGAGAGTGGGGAGTGTAAGAGAGAGAGAGAGACCACCAAGAGTGATGGCAGAGTGAGCGTAAGATGAAACTAGGAGGGGCCGGTACTTCCGATGGGGCTTAGTGGTCGTTGGGTAGAACAATGGCCTAACCTGGGATGTGACCTAGCGAAGAATGTGGCGGACCAGGACACTACCTATAACATCCTCGCTGGACCTATAATAATCATTATCATCATCATCATCATCATCTACGTGCTACATCCTAGATTACGTGTCTCCTGTTCGCTAACCCAAATAACTCAGCGTTGCCACCTCCGGCACGGGGTATCGGGCAACCACGACCGGGGGCCACGCCAGCATCCTAGCGTACCTAGACCCCCTTTTTTGGGATTTTTGGTCAACACAGCCTGATTATGATTATGGATCGCTCTTTGACGCCAGGTTTAACTACTCTCCCACGTGGTCATTTAACTAAAAAGGGGCGGTCTTCCGTAGTGTCGGATTAGCATTGACTGAAGAAGGAATAAATGGTGATTATTAGGGGACAGATCCGGCACTCGCGCGCTTGGCACTCTCGCCTCACGGTATTTCTGCCTGCCCAAGGGAGGATTTAATTTCCAATGCCTCCTCCAGAATCCGAACACGGCCTCCGCAACCCATTGGATCGCCTCCGTGTCTCCCCCGCAAATCGCGACGCAATGATCATCAACGGCCGATGCCGAGCGTCAAACCACATGGCAGAGGTCTAGCATGTGAATCCTGCCCGGTGTCGCTGGTTGCGTCAATAGGAGGCCAAATGCAACCCGACAGGACTCGAGGCAGTGGCAGAGAGCGCGCGCCAGTTATAGACTAGCACGCTCCGCAGCCTCACCTTGGCTTGGCTCGTCTTCATCATCCGCACCCCGGCTTGAAGAAGTAGTCGCTGTCATATCGCATGCAAATGTAAATGTATCAAATGTATTCCAGTCCACACAGAACCCCAAGAAAACGCCGAGAAAAATAAATGATCGGTCGAAAAGCGGAAATGGTTTTGCTTTTTTTTTTGGCCAAGAAACTCATGCATTCTTCGTGTCCCGGATGACCTCGCCCTTCACCTTGGCCCAGTCAATGTCGGCGTCAATTTTCTCGTCGATCTCGCCGCAGACGACCACGTTGTCGCCGCGGATCAGGTACAGGCCATGCTCGATCTGGGACGAGGGCTCGTCGTCGTCCGGGGTGCGGATGATGCGCTCGATGGTGTTGGAGAGGACGAGGTTGGTGAGTTGGTCGGTGGAGAGGAGGGTGCCGAGGAGGGTGCGGCCGTCCACGGTGAGGATGAGGACCTTTTCTGGCAAGGGTGTTAGTTTGGGAATTGGTGTCAGCGCATGGGCTGGGGGACTCACTGTTGATGTACGCTTGGAGAGACATGGTGAGCAATGTGAACGCGCGGGCAGGAACGAATAAAGGATTCGGCTTGTCTAATGCTCGCGGGCAATGCGGTCACCTGGCCCGTTTGGATCAAGGTCGATCAAGCCAGGGTGTGTCGTTGGTTTGTCGTTGGCGTCGTAGCTTGAAAGACCTGTCGCGTCCACCACCCCAGAGAAGAGGCTCGGCTCGGTCGTGGATTTCCTCCGTCGTGCTGCACTAAGGGATCCTGAGACGGTCGACTGGGGTAAGAATGGAAGGAATTGAGGGTTGACGGGGAGTTGCACTTGACTCCACGAGTGCACGACAATCCCGAACGAGGAAAGATCGCGCGGGTCACGTGTTGGAGCTTAGCTTACAGACTTGATATACAAAAACAAAACTACAGAATGAAAGAAATAATAGATGTTGTTAGCATTCCTGATTGTGCACGATATCGCCTGCAATTCCAATGCACTCGACTTAGCCGCTCAGCGCGTTGAGATCCAACGGCACACTGCTGCCGCGCCCGGCTCGATACCGCCGAGGTCCTCCAACAAACGGCCGTGGCTTGGGGAGTAGCCCTTCACCCTGAAATTTGAACCGGTTATCTTCGACACGAACATTGCCATGAACATGGACTGAAGGGCTCCGTGAACCGGGTGACGGCGAAGACCCGCCGCCGTTGGCCAGGGTGTAGGCGCTGGGATCCAACGCTACGTGTGGTTCGTGCGAGGCGGGTCGAGCAGGTACAGGAGATGGACGGGCTGGAGGCTCGCTGGGAGGTGCGATAGGAGGCGATGTGGGTGGAGGGGGAGGTGGTGCTGCCGGAGCAGAGGCTGGCGGTGGTGGTGGCGGCGCCGCGGGTGAACTGCTGGTGTGTCCCAGGGCCGAGCGGGCTGCCTGTGCAGCAATGGAAGGCGGAGCGCCGGAGGGTGGAGGTGCCCGCGGCGCAGCAGATGGAGGCGGTGGTGGGGGTGCAGCAGGGCTGGCAGAAGGAGGCGGCGGCGGAGGAGCAGATGGTTTCCGTGATGCCGGAGGTGGAGGAGGTGCGCGTGGAGGAGGAGGAGCTTCCGGCGGCGCAGTCTTGGATGTTGTTGTAGAGACGGGGCGCGGCGGCGGCTTCTTGAGGCTGGCAGCCAACGGGTTGATCGGCTGAGTAGATGACTCTGTTGATGGTGGAGGGGGAGGCGGTCGTGCTCCAGGTGGTCTGGGGGCCGTTGGAGGCTTTGGGGCGGGAGCAGCAGGCGCGCGGCGTGCGCTCTCCGAGTCTGACATGTAGGGAGAGTCGCGAGTGGCACCGGTAGCAACACCCCCGCGACTGCGCAACTTGGGCATTCCACCCGCAAATATGCCTGCTAATTGAGAAGCGGCTGGAGAATCTGCAGCACCATCGGTGCTGGTCACTCCTTCGCTGTTGCTTCGAACCCGGTTTGCCGCTGATGGGACGGGCGGTGCGAGGCCAGATGGCGGCTTGATGCCAGGAACCGGGGGCGCCCCTCCGATCGGAGGAGCTGCCGAGCCGCCTCCTGAGCCCGCGAGGATTGGTGCAGAGCGATCATTCGTGACGGCCTTTTTTAAACGAGTGCCTCCACGGATATCAGATAGCAGTGCGCCCTGCGAAGGTATCAGTCACCAGGTTCGTGAGGGGGAAAGTCCAAGGAGCACATGAAGTGCCTAGGTCTGTTTGAAAGTTCCATCTAACATACCCTGTCTTTCACTTCGCCTTTTGCTGGCCGGCTTGGAAGTTGACCTGGTGGAGGGGGCGGAGGAGGGCCGCCTGGTCCTCCAGGCGGCGGCGGCGGTGGAGGAGGAGGGGGAGGAGGCATGGATGTTGAGAATCAGATAAATACAGAGAGTTGGTCAAGTCTCAGATAGGGGGAAGGAGGAGAGTGGGAGGAAGAGCTCCTTGACCAGCAGGAGTTGTTGACGTGTGGGAAGAAGTGTGGAAAGAGTGAGAGTTCCAAGAGCAAGTACGGGGAAGCGCTCGGGCCCAAGTAAGTGGCCGCCTGGAACCAGAAAAAAGACCTTCCACCTACCTCCATGCACCAACCACCATCCTCCTAAGCCATGAAACGCGTCACTTTGGCAGGCCGCAGCGCTTCCAGTCCTCAGGGTCTGGTTTGCCACTTTTGTCAATTGTCGGTCTCTCGTCGCGCGACTTCCCTCGCCCACCTGTCGCCCATTGTCCCCAAGAGTCGACGGGTCTCCAGCAGTCTACGCCCTCAATCCTCCACCCCGAATCTGAGAGCACAATTGGCTTCGCCATTAATATCAGTGCGTGCCTTCGCTTCCACTTCCTCTGCTGCATCAAGCCCCGAAACCGCCATTCGGGAGATCTCCAAAGAAGCATCCGCCATTCGCAATTCAGACACGGTGCCCGCAAACGAGACCGTGGTGGACCTGCTGCAAAGATGCCAGCAAATCGCAGAGAGTCTCGTGTCGCATGAGCACGATCAGGGCGATCGCTCTGCGATTAATGAAAACAATGCCATCTCTCCATTGCTGAACCTGGACGAGAAGAAAAGCCCGCCAGCAACAGGCCGCACAAACCAGACCAGCGCGGTGCGAGACCCCAAATTGGCAGAGTCGGTATCCCGCATCGCAACCGACCTCCTCAAGGACAAGAAGGTATTCATCTCGCCGGAGGCCCTGGCACACTACACGACCACGCAAACCCTTCTGCGGAGTCCCGAGCACTTCCCGGAGATCTTCCACTTGTATGCCAACAAGCCGGTGCCCGAGGAGAACAGCTCGCCGGCCAAGTTCCACAAGGCGAATCCCAAAAACGTCAACAGCGCCGTGCCCGCTGAGCTGGCCAACCAGGCTCTGGACGTCGCCATTGCGCAGAAGAACCTCTCGCTCGTCCTGGCTATCATCGACAGCACGTTCTGCGCGCCCGCGTTTCATCGCGCTAAGATCTTCAAGAAGGCCGCTGTTCCACTTGCCGCGCTGACTGCTGCCCCGGCTGCATGCTACACGCTCGCGTCGTGGGCGTCGACGTTCCAGAACACCATGGACCCCAGTACGGCGACTGGCATCGCGTTCGCGGCTAGCCTGGCCTACGTTGGTGGCACATCCTCTATCGGTATCATGGCTATCACTACTGCCAATGACCAGATGGAGCGGGTGACGTGGTTGTCGGGCATGCCGTTACGACAGCGGTGGTTGCGAGAGGAAGAGCGAGCGGCCATGGATAAGGTCGCTGTTGCGTGGGGGTTCAAGGATCCGTATATGAGAGGCGAAGAAGTGGGCGGAGAATGGGAGGCTCTGCGCGAATTCATTGGGATGAGGGGCATGATTTTGGATAAGACGGAGCTGATGGAGGGAATGCAGTAAGTGGAGGAATGTACGATACTGGAGCTTCTATGTACAATTGTACTTGTCTACAATCGAAATGAATCAAGACCGAATCGTGAGCTTCATTTGCTTTTTAAAACTATGACACACGCCCACTTCTCGGGCCCCGAAACTAGATAGACACTCCAGCGCAACAAAGCGATAGAGCCAATCTAGTACACACGGCGGGGAGGAGACATGGTAGCCTTGATGACCAGGCTACCGACGTTCTGCCAGCCCTTCTTGAGCAGGGAGACGAGGTAGTTGATAGCCAGCATCAGGTTGGCGACCAGCTCCTCGGAGGTCATGCCGACGTTGCCGACAGCGACACCCAGGCACAGAACCTTCTTCAGCTGGAACTTGATGGTGGACTTGACCTCGGTGACCTTGGCCTGCATGTCCTCGGCGTGGGAGACGGGGGTGGGGAACTTGCCGGCTGTGAAGGAGTCAGTACACTAAGGATGATGTTGTTTCATGTATTGGAAGACCTACCCTTGGACAGACCAGGACCCAGCAGACGGGGGATCTGCTTGATCAGGGTGTCGGAAGCGACGAAGGCATCGTACTTGCGGGCCAGCTTCTTGATCAGCTTCTTGTTCTTGTTCAGCTTCTTCAAGTCGTCCGAGGACATGGCGTCAATGCCGTGGTGCTTGGCACGGTCGAGATCGTGCTGGTCACCCAGGATGCAGATGGCCATGTTGGGGCGGGGCACGGTGGGCAGCTTGATGGTACCCGAGAAACGCTTGTCACGCTGGGGGTCATAGTTCTTCAGGCCGATCTGGAGCTCGACGGTCTCGAGGAAGTTACGCTTCTTCTCGTTGAGCGAGTACTCGAGGAGCTGGTTGACATTCTCGCGCACTCCGGCTGGTGGGGGATTAGCAGGGGGTTCGTAGATGAAAATAATGACGAGGACACATACCGACTGTAATCTTCGACATGATGCTGACAGTCTTCCAAAAGAGATGATCTTATGGTGTGGCTCTGCGCTGGAATGTTGAGGAAGAAAAGAAAAGAAAAGATTCTCGCCAGTGTGATTTTCTCCGCTTGTGGGCCGGGACCGGGCTAGGCCAGAACGGGTTTAGTGGAACCCTAGAACCTGCTGACTAATGTAGAGATCACATGACCACCTCTCTTACCATGGCCAGCACTCGCGACAGCTTCCCCGAATTCCTCTCTAGTACCGTATCATCCCACAAGGCAAACCCGGTCCTCTCGTACAGCTTCTGTGCCCCATGATTCTCAGGCTCAACAATCAGCACAATCCGAACAGACGCTGCCCCTCGGGTCTGGCCCTCTTCCCGAGCAGCCTGGACCGCAGCTTCGATCAGCCGTTGGCCATGACCCCCTCGTCTAGACTCGGGCGAGACAAACATGCCCACAACCATGTAAACAAGATGCGCACCGCGCAAATCCATCGTCTCCGTCGGCGTCAATGGCGGAATGCACTGCTCATCCTGAAAGAAAACAGACCAGGGCTTCGCTAGGCCAGTCTCGGCAGTCTCATCGCCCTGTATGGCGAGGACTTCCGGCCCGATAAGCGTCAGTTGACCAGTCCACTCGTTCCTCAAGAGCGACCCCAGAGCGCCGGAACTGTCACTCGCAATGATTATTTCATTTTCACGGGTCAATACTGGCTCCTTGCACGGAATCACCGAGACAAAGGTCTTGCCTGCTGGGTTCTCAATCCGGGCGATCCATTTGTCCTGCTCGAATTGCGACTCGCGCTCGTATGTCGATGAAAATGCATGCGGGTCCACCTTGAGTCCGTGTAGGCGCAGCTTTCTGTAGCGTTCCACCACGGCGTGTAGTTGAGTGGGTAAATTGTAGGTTCGGGGGACGCGGTGGACCTCGCCGAGTGGTCGGGTTGGGTTGGTCATAGTGTAGTATAGCCCGCAATGGTGCGATCGCGGATGTCCTATTTGCCCTTTTATTATTGTTGAAGAAACGGCAGATGGAATTGACTCCAATTTAAGTCTTATCTGGCGGGGTGACTCACTTGCCGTCCGTGCGGCTCAGAAGCCCTAAATGTGCTACTTCTATAGTAGCCAACGAGCCTGTCGTCAACATAATATGTAACATTTCATTTTCACTATTTACAGATGTTTCCAAAAAATCGCCAACAACCAGAAAGCTATTGCGTCAAAGACTGTCCGACGAGTCTCACTAGATTTCTCTCTGTGAAGGTAGAGAAGGTAGCAAGGTCAGATCCAGATTCTGCCAATCCCAAATCTGGCCCAGCTGGCCAACGTCGACATTATACCAGTCACCCAGCGCCATCATCGGCGGAATGTCCAGGCCAGACACAGGCAGATCAGCCGGAGTAAAGATTCCCGGCGCGGAAATCGAGCCCAGCGCCGCCACGGACTCCGGGGAGATGGTATCACCAAAAGAAAGATCACTGAGATCTCCAGCAGCGTCAAAAGGGCCAGTACCCACCTCTGGGTTCGGTCCATTTGGCAGAGAGGCCTTCTCGACAGACACGGCAGAACAGCTTTTCGCAAGTCTTGTGAGGATAGGATAGCAGATCGCTCCTGTCTTTGTCGTGCGAGCGAGTTCCCCCATCATCGAACAGGCGAGCTTGATGGCCTGGAGTATTTCCTCTCGGCGCGGGAGGCTTTGGTTCTTGTCATGGATCACCGCGGAGCTGAGGAAGGCTGCCGTGTCGAAGGTCAAGAACGTTATCAGATGGAAGTTGGCATTGACTGGGTAGACGTGGTTGAAGAGCTGGTGGCAGATCTCCATTAATCGAAGGGCCGTATCTGCTGCTATCTCACGATGATTCTTCTCGGCATCTGAGACGTTGGGGCTAAATGTCTTGGTGAGACACTCTTTGAAGGGGACGAACATGGTCATGTATCCCGCGGCGTGTAGCTGTAGACGGTGAAGGGGCACATAGCGATACTCTTCGTCCCACTGCGTGTACGAATCTCTGATACTGTACGCCGGGGGAAGAGATGCGAGCCACTCTTCTATAACATTGCGGATGGTGTCGGCATGAACGGCGTCCAGCGTGCCGCTCATGCTTCCTGGAACTTTTTGCATGATCACTTGGCCCAACTTGCATTGAAAGGCAATTTGAGCCACGGGTGAGGGAGGTCCCGTCTCGGTGTCAAGGCCCTCAAGTTTCATATTGGGTAGTTCAAAGGAGTAGCAGCTTGGGTTGATGATGAGGGGTCGAGAAAGTAGCAGCGCCATTTGCCTGTTACAATGTAAGAACTTTAGCTAAGTGTTCGTGTGATGGCACCGTGCTCTTACCAGTCCCATGCATATAGAAGACACCACACACGCCGTCTCATCTCAATGTCAAATTCCGATAGCCCGGTTCGACTAGAGGTTTTGTGCATGCCTAGCTCCTGAGCCTCGTGGATACAAGCGGACAACGTATGCCAAGACTCGATAAAAAGGGACTCGCTCTTAAACCACGTCGCGGTCAAGAACAGCTGTTGAACCTGTGCCAGTCCACCTTTTCCGGGGGCAATCGCATTGCTGAGTTGCTTGGCGGCGTGGTGGTAGTTTGTCGAAATGGTCTGGATTGGCTCGCCTAGCTCGGACTCCAGCTTTTGTCGGATTTCCGGGTCAAGATACTGTGCCGAGCATGCACAAACGCGTAGCAAAAGACATGTAAATGCTGGGGTGAGGGGTTTCCTGCTGGCTCGGTCTGCCCACCATGTTGTATAGTCTTGAGAGAAGGAGGGTGGATAGAGGCAGTAGTAGTTGTAATTTCCCTCGCCCAGGAACTTTTGTACCAAGATATCTGGCATGTGGTTAGCAGAATGAGGATATCGACCACATGGATGCCCTTACCGGTATAGGGTTTGGGGGGCATCAGACTTAAAGCGTTTTTCATCTCGTCCGATACTATATCGGGAGACACTTTTGAAATATTGGTGGCCTGTGAGAGTTAGTATAGAATTCGAAACATTTCACCTGAGAACAACTTACCGGAGGGGTGGTATCTCCAAAATGGGGGCTTTGGTCAACGGGCAAATACCCCAGCGAGCGCAATTCATCCTTGCCAGCAATCCCGTGCGTTCCAACAGTCGTCGTCTGTGTCAATTCTGGTTTGGCCTGTGCCACCTCTTCATCTGGTGGTGTTTGTGCACTAGCTCTCATCAGCAACAGCCAGTCCATCAATTCCAAGACCACGCATACTTGGCAACATCATTCAACGGGTGAGACTTGGCCGTCCTCTTCGGAACATATCTACAAAGATGCGCGATACGCCTTGCTTGGCAGTGGTTACATGGCCACTCGCGGCTGCACTGAGGGAGAGGTCAGTCATCGCCTGAGTCTATACAAAGGCTGAGCAGCCGACCTTCTGCTTGCGCCGCTGGCATTCCGTACATGACGCGGCTAGACGGACATCTTTCCCTGGTGGTAATTTAGGCATTGTGTCAACTTGTTCGCTCAGTGTATCGATGAGATGAACACGATACTAGGTATTTTTGCATGGTTCGACCACCACCAGTCTAGGGATGCCGAAGATATTCGGCCTTTCCGAAGAATGACGCAGATGGTCACCTGGTGCGCTTGGCCATATCGGGACTAGCGCGGCTGTCATTTGTCCGTTTCCTTGGTTGTTTGTTGTGTTGAAGATCCTCTAACTAGTAGAAGATATCTTTCATCATGATCCAGAAGAAAAGAATCCGTTCGACATGAAAATGGTGGTCAGTGGAATCGGACTCGAGGGGGGAACCACTGCAACAGATAGATCTACAAAGATATATTCGCGTTATTGAGACCGAACATGAAAATATACTTTTTTCTTTGCAAAGTCCGATCGATATTTATTATGCTGTTTTATTTAGAGGGCCTGCGTGGGACACTTGTTGATGTTCTTGAAGTTATCGACGAGGCCTCCTGTTAGTCTGTTGAGCAGACCGACGAAGATCCATCAGGTGAGTCCCCAGCAGCCTAGTGACCGGAGAGCCCCCGTGAGTCAGTCCCCTAGGCGCCATCTGACCATCCTCACGGGCAAGAATAGCAATAGGCACATAAGCTTCATGCAGGCAGCCGCCGGGGATGGTGTGGGGGACGCCAGCTGATCCCAGCGCTAAGCTAAGCATGACCTGTCGAGGTGACGGCGCTAATTTGTTTCAGTTCAACCTTTATCAACCTCTCTCCCCTCTTTTCTCTCTGAAATTCCATTCACACCAGTGATTGCAGTGGGTTGAGTCTTCAACCGACTCTTTCGTCCTCGACCCCTGACTGGCCCTCATCTCTTAGCGTGGCAGCCGTGGGACGCGCGCCTAACGACCTCGTATTACATGCAGCACAACAACCCGCCTGACTTTCAGGAAGTATGGCCGACACGTTGCTGCTGAGCCCGCAGGAGTACTACTCCAGTCTATCGGGTGACAGGCCCTCATTGAAAGAAAAATTCCATGATATCGACGACAAGACCCACTTCTACAATGCCATGCACCGTCTGGAGGACCCGCGCACCCGGAACTTTGTGCTGGACTTTGGCAATGAGGATGCCTGGTGCGGCGCCGACCTGGATACCGAGGATGTGAAACACCTCCTGAGCAGGCCGGTATGTTTGTTATTGTCCCATCTCGGTGATTTAATACTGACGGGACCGAAGAGAGCAAGATGTTTTGGCACCCGGTGGATGTAAGGCCCCACAAATCCCCCGTTGGCTCCTCTTCTTAAATTGATCATCGTACCCGCAGTAACATCTGGGCGCCAGAGGAACAGAAAGATGCTATCAAGGTACGTCGGCGTTTTGACTTGCATCGTCAACCGCTGACTCGTCCAGGTCATCACCACATACTATGGAGTGTCAGAACGACTGCAGGGGATGATGTGCACCGAACCAGCCGTGCCACCCCCCAAGCCCGTCGCATTACCCAAAAAAAGATATACGCGCGATTTCGACCACGCCGAGAAGCCCGTGGGCGATGTCGAAAACGCAATCTCCCTCAAGGATCTGTCCGATCCGGATCATACGCGCCAGGATGCCGCCTCGTTCAAGAATTTGACCTTTTCTCAAGTCACCGATCAAATTTGGCATTTCTCGTCCGTAGATCATGGCCCTCGATGTACGTCGTTCGCTGCCCGTCCGCAGAAATTACGATGAAATGAGACTCACTCTTGAGCAGACACTTGCGTGGGCTACAATACGTTATTTGTGGTTCCACACATGCACATGCCGAATGGCAAAGACCTGCCAGACGGGAGACGACTGTGGTCGTGGCTCATTCTTTTCGAAGACGGTTGGTATCAATCAGACATCGTGTTATTACTTTCCTAACCGGGACAGGAACCGTCCTGTCAATCCAGGAGAATCCGTTCCCACGAGCACAGGGCCAAGGATCTATGGAGGACATGAAGCGCGTTCTCGACGTGGTGCGCCGCAACATCCGCTTCATCTTCTCGGGGGTGTCCCGGCAGCACTCTTCCGTATCCGAGAACGACTCGCTGGTCACCATTCGAGTGCGCCATTTCAACGACTTCGGGCCCGACCAGGCAAGTATCAAGCAGGAGGACGGGCCGAGCCTGCTATTCTACTATATCTTCGATGACTGGATGTCCAGCTATGGACTCATTGCTAAACGAGAACACAAATACGGGGTTGCCCTGGACCAAATGGTAAGTGAACCTACATACCGTTCTGGCATTGGGCTGACTGACTGACTCCGCACGCAGAGAGGGAACATGCTTCACCAGCCGGAGGTCGACTTGGTGAATGAGTTGCACTGGCTAGGTCGCCGGCTGGCAGTCCTGAAGCGGCTCTATCAAAGCTACGAGCTGATCATGCGGCGTCTACTACAACGACAGCGCATGCTCCGCGACGAACTCCGCCAGGCCCAACCGCCGCCGTTATCGTACGGTGCCACGTTTGGGGATATCGAGTTCTCCGACCTGCGGCAGTCGAGCCTGGTCAGCAACCCCAGCCAGCCCGGCCTCACCGATAAGGCCGTTGGGGTGCATCTGAGCTCGGCAGCGGTGGCGCGCTTTGAGCGGCTGGCAGATCGCATCAATCTATACTGCCTGAGCGAGATTGACAGCTGTCTCACGGAGAAGGAGTCATTGACGTTCTTGGTAAGTGGCCTAGTTCCCTGGTCCCAACCCACAGTCTAACCGAGGCAGAACTTCAACTTGATCGCGCTCAAGGACTCGCAGGCCGTAGAGAAGTTGACGCGGATCACGATCCTGCTGGCCAAAGCGACCATTCTGTTCCTGCCGGTCAGTCTGATGACGGGGTACTTCTCGACGGACCTGCGGGGGGTCAAGGGTGGCTACTCGGTGACGGAATACTGGGTGGCCTTTGCGGTGATTCTAGTGGTGTCCATTCTAATGCTGATGATCTTTGGGATGGCCAGCGATACGGTGGAGGGCAAGACCATCTACCGGTCGTTAGTGAGAACGTTCTTCCGGACGTCGCGTGAGCGGATGATGCAGCAGCGCCGGGGAGGATGATGAGGAGGATGATGCTGTACTATACTTAGTGAATCATACTTGAGCCGACCGTTGTGGCGCAGGCCGTGGGCCCTGACCGAGTAAAGCTGAAGATGAAAGGACCAGAAAAAAGACTGGGCCCGATAAGTGGAGCCTATCAGGGCCGCCAGGGAGCCTGGTATTGCACGTTACGGGCAACACGGTGTCCTCTTCGGAGCGAGCGATTGAGCAAGCACAGATGGAGGCACCTCTAGGCAGAGAAATAACCAGGACCGAACACAGGGTCCATGATCAGTGGTCCGAATCAGCGTCGGAGAAGTCACCAAGTGTGAACGAAGCCAGACGAGCCCCAGTCACGGGCCTGGTGCTTGTAATGCAGTGACGGAGACTACGCCCACCGCCGTATTTCTGCGTATTCCGTACACCCCAAACACCTTTCCCTTTCTTCTCCCTCCCTTCCTCTCGTCTCTTGTGTGCTCCATACACATCCATCCTCTCTCTTCACTCACCACCTTCCTATCGGTAAGTGCACTGCGGATCCTCTTCCAACCCCCGTTGCGCCTCTCGTACTCGGGTGGCCAGATCATCCCCCCTGAAACCCTCAACACACAAACAAACACGTTTTGCATGCCCCTCCGCCTCTCACCAACGAAACCAACCCCCCCTTCCTTCTGGTGTCAAAATCCCCCAACCCATTCCACCATCCCCCCCACACACATTAACACCAACTCACGCCGTGCGCTACATTAGGCTTCGAGCACTCCGTTCTCGCTACCGCCAATATGGGTCTCGCTTTCTCGAAGCTGTTCGATAGACTATGGGGTCGCAAGGAGATGCGCATTCTGATGGTTGGCCTGGACGCCGCCGGAAAGACCACCATCCTGTACAAGCTGAAGCTCGGTGAAATCGTCACCACCATTCCCACGATCGGTCAGTGCCTCCCACCGGCCCTAGGCCCGCCCTCGGTAAATTCCCAGAGATGCTGACTCGGGACACTAGGATTCAATGTCGAGACCGTCGAGTACAAGAACATCCAGTTCACCGTGTGGGATGTCGGTGGTCAGGACAAGATCCGCCCCCTGTGGCGCCACTACTTCCAGAACACCCAGGGTATCATCTTCGTGGTGGACAGCAACGATCGGGACCGTATTGTCGAGGCCCGCGAGGAGTTGCAGCGCATGTTGAACGAGGACGAGCTCCGGGACGCCCTGCTCCTGGTGTTCGCCAACAAGCAAGATCTGCCGGTATGATTGGAATGTGTGTTCGCTGGCCTCGCCACAGTTATTGATTTTGTGTTCCAGAACGCTATGAGCCCCGCCGAGATCACCCAGCAGCTTGGTCTGCAGAGCCTCACCCGCCGCGCCTGGGTAAGTCTTTTTTTAGATCTTTCTCTTTCTTCATGCTGACCTGTCATAGTTCATCCAATCCACCTGCGCCACCACGGGTGACGGTCTGTACGAGGGTCTGGAGTGGCTCGCTGAGACGCTGCGGAAAACGAACCGGGACTAAATTGCGACGATCGCGATGAGGGGATTGGGTTGTACGTGTAAGGGGAGGCGAGCGTCGGGGAAGAAATACCACAGACTATGATGATTGACAGGAGTTTCTCAGCGACCACATAGGAATAGGGTCACCGGTCAGGGGGGTTCTGCCACTCGAAGTTCTTTCCATTCCTTCTACGCGATGCTATTAGCCTCTATTTGCTGTGATCCCAAAATGGCGGTGTTCTTATGTGTCTGGTCCTGTCGTAGCGAGGAACGAGCCCACTAGGCGAACTAGTCCCCGAGTGTGGCTCGTGTGTTGCGTAATCGGCGCCAAGTCGGGTCTTGGCAGCATCCGCTCCTGTTGGTTTGGCTTGTCCACCTGTCAAGAATCCCCGGATTTCTCCTGTCGGTGCCTGTTTGTTGTTTCCTACCGTGTCGGACTGCTGCGTCTCAGGACTCTCCCCCTGTCGAGACCACGAGGACCCTCACTGCGCCCATCGCGGACTTCCTATTGCGCGGAACACCGGCTCGCGTGCTCCTCGGCCCCCTCTCCCCTATCCGCCATTGCCTGCGCAGATGTCGTGTCGAAGACTAACTGTCTGTCTCCATTGACTCTCCCTCGCCCGTCAATGTTGACAACCTCTGCCTGCAACCATGCCCGTTCAGGTGCGGAGGCACTCCCGCGCGTACAGCACCTCGGCGCCCTACGGCGCCCACATCACCCACGATTCCTCCGACGTCGAGAAGCAATATAGCCACTCGCCCTACCGCCATCACAATCGCAGCGATGACTCCTCCGACGACAGTGAGCCAGAATCCTTCCCCTCGGCCTCCTATCACCCCATGGTGAGTGGCGCCGGTCTGCGCCGCGCGCAAGCAGGCGTGGGCTTCCGCGTCCCGCAGCGGATAATGCGCTGGCTGTGTTTTGCGCTGTTCGCGTTTCTCGTCCTCTTTATCCTGACACTCTTCCGCTTCGCCATCTCCGGCACCGTTAAGGAGGTCACGGACGATTTGGGCGTCACGACCAAGAAACCTCCCCCACCCCCGGAATGGGAGAGCTTTCCATTCCTGAAGCGCTACCAGGGTGGGGTCCGAAATTTGGTCTCGCGACATGACAACGTGCCTGAATACCCTGGTGACGGATCGGTGGAGACGGAGGGGATTGTATCGGAGAGAGATGCTGACGACGGCGATGCGGACTCTAATCACCTGAACAAGAGAGATCAGGGCGGTCCGTCCATGTCGAGCGTCGTGTTCAATCCCTATCCCGACTACAAATCGGCGGATTATGTTCGAAAATACGGCGAGAAACGCGAGTGCTTCTTGGACGAGTCGAATTCAATCCGTATCCCGGCCGTCCAGAACTTCCCCGGAGTGCCCAAGGGTTTCCCGGACCCTGTGATTGGCTCGAATAAAATGCTGGGGATTCGCGATGATATGTGCTTTGACCGGTTTGGCCGTTTGGGCCCCTATGGTTTGGGGTATGGGGTCAAGAAGGGAGGCATCGGTGCCGGGCTGGAGGGCCATCGCGATGGTGCCCAGCGCGTCTGGGAAGATGTGCCTCCAGTAGATTACAGACATGTGGACTGGAGCGCGGCACAGGAGCGGTGTGTGGCCGCTAACCTTCATCGTTTCAAGGAACTACAGGAGCCGCGCCTGAACAGGTTTGTCTCCATGCCGCTGGGTCTCCCCAAGCTGAGACTGGCACCAATGGAGGACAAAAATCGCAAAGCGGCCAAGGTCGGTACGGATCGTCTGCCGCGGACTGCGGTGGTTATTCGCACCTGGTATGACTTTCGATACACTCCCGAGGACGTGATGTATTTGCGTGCGCTCATCTCGGAGCTGGCACTGTCATCCGGCGGCGAGTACACGGTCCATTTCCTCATTCATGTCAAGGACAACAACCTGCAAATCTGGTCCGACGATGAGACCTACAGCCGCGTGCTTAACGATGCACTGCCCGAAGAGTTCCGTGGCATGGGCACGCTCTGGTCAGAGAAACAGATGGAGCTCATGTATCCCGGGCTGGAGGAAAACGAGGAGCGTGGACTGCCGATCTACGGCGTCTACCGCAGCACCTTCATGCCCATGCAATACTTCTCATATCAGCATCCCGAGTATGACTACTTCTGGAACTGGGAGATGGACGCCCGCTACACGGGCCACTGGTACCATCTCTTCGACAAGGTTGTTGAGTGGGCAAGAAAGCAGCCTCGAAAGGGTCTCTGGGAGCGCAACGCCCGCTTCTATGTGCCTTCCATGCACGGAACGTGGGAAGACTTCCGGCAGATGGTCCGCGTGCAGACTGAACGCGGCACCAACAGCTTCAACAACCTATGGAGTCCGCCTCAGGGTAGACCTGGCGAGAAGGAAAGCAGCACTCTTGGCCCACAGGGCGACAAGTCGATCTGGGGGCCCGAGCGGCCAGATGAGCGCGACATATTCGAGGTTGACGGTGAGGGCATCCCACCCACAACCATGGAAAAGGATCAATACGAATGGGGCGTCGGCGAGGACGCCGACCTCATTGTCTTCAACCCACTCTACGACCCAGAGGGCACGACTTGGCTCCTGCGCCACGACGTCACGGGCTACAACCGCGAGAACGGGTTCCCCCCCAGGCGCACCGCCATCATCACCGCATCGCGCCTCTCCCGCAAACTCCTGACAACCATGCACCGTGAATGCAGCCTGCGGCGCCACAGCATGTTCTCGGAGATGTGGCCGGCAACGACCGCGCTACACCACGGTTTCAAGGCCGTCTTCGTCCCGCACGCCGTGTACATCGACCGCCGCTGGCCCACGCGATATCTGGAGTCTGTTTTCAATGCCGGACGAAACGGCGCCTCTGGCGGCGCCCTAACGTCCATTTTCGGTGACCGCGAGCACAATTTCAAGGGAACCACCTGGTTCTACTCCGCTGGGTTTTCTCCAAATCTCTGGCGCCGCTGGCTTGGGTTACGCGTTGACAATGATGGTGGCGAACAACAGGAACTTGCGGGTGAAGGCCGCATGTGTCTCCCGCCGATGTTATTACATCCCATCAAGGAAGTGGAAATGATTATCGACGATGGAGAACATGCTGAAGATCGGTGATCGATGATCCCATCCCGCCTCCTCCTCCTCCTTCCTCTTGTTCTGTGCCATTCTCATCAAACCAAAATTTGCATTCCCCACCACCCATTTCTGTTATCTGTTTTATCTGGGTGTCGGCTTTCTAATTTGCTCTCCGCCTTAGCTGTCTGTCTGCCTGTCTTCGAGCTTTTGCATAGATTGAATATTCCCCTTCCTCCCCCCGTATAATGCCTCCCACCTGCCTCCTGTCCTCTTCCACTCCCCCTTTTGCTACATCCAGCGCTTGGAGTCATGGCTTCTCTCATTTTTGCTCTGCCTTGCTCTCTCGTGCTCTCCTTGTTTCCGGGTCTAAACATGAACAGACACTACTTAGGTGCGCTAGATCAACTAAGAATTTTATGAAGGAGGGAAATGTCACAAAGATGCAATTCTACTTGTACGCCTTGCCGAGGTGTTAACTGGCGGTTGTTAGAGAACCAGTAGTCGTGAAGATAAATGGAGAGTAGGAGCAAATTTTGTATATTGAACAGGACAGCGAGTACAACAATCCAAATAATATAAGACTCATTATTTCGTAAAATGCAAGATGCAAGGCTAAATATGCCACCAAAAACGACACTATTAATCTCGGAACAAAAAAGAATCAAGGCTTAACAAGCGGCGTCCCCCAAGACACCGCTCGCTTGCTCTCAGGAAGCAACTTCATCGACAGGCTAGAGATGTGCTCACTGCACGACCTTTGCGTCGAAAGTGGCGAGCGAGTCACTAACTCCGCCGGCGCAAAGCAAATACTGCACTCATAGACCTCATTCGCATCCACGCCAAAGGATAGACAAGTGCGACAAACCCTATGTCCGCACTTGGTAAGCAACACCTCAGTCTCCTCGCCTCCCTGCACGCACGTATGACAGAAATGCGTCGGGAACTTAACTCGCGGATCCAGGATCCGGCGCTCGATCTCCGAGGCGAGCTCCTTGCCCTTTTCCACGCGTGCGCGGAGGAGACGGGCTTTTGTTTTGAGCTTTTCGAGACGGGCGCTGTTTTTCGTGGCTGATGAGGACAGCCGTGGTTGGCGTAGTGAGGGGACTGGCTCAAGGAATATCACGGGCCGGAAGCGTTGCGAGACGGGTCGGTCTTGCATGATTTGATGCTCGAGTTTCCAGCGGCGCTGCAGTTGGCGGTTGAGCCGCACCGTGAACCAGACTGTTAGGGCTTGCCAGGCCCGCCATTCTGAGATGGGGTCTAGTGGTGAGACCTTTTCTTGGGGAGATGGACTGCGTTTTGACATTTTGTTTTGAGGAGTGGAGGTGGTTGGTGGGTCTGATGATTGTATAGACATGAGGATTGAGGTGGCGATGTCTTTGCCCTCTTCACTTGATGTTTGTGTAGATTGCAAGAATCAGAAACATGCTCGATCAAAGCAATTCGAGCATGTCTTATATAGATCGGAGTACCTGGGAAAAAAAGAGGGAAAAACAGATCACCGCTTCGGCCGAAGGAGTCCCAAGAATCGGAGTATAGCTTCAAGCTGTCCACAACAATCTACCCCGGCCCCAGAGTCGAGAACCGAAAAAACACCAGACTCGGTTGCATCTGACGGCATGTGTTGAGTGGCCACAGAGCAAAATTTGTGCCCAGCCCTATAGCCATTTGTCTGGGTTTCCGTCCGGTTACCATATCCGGTCTGCGAACCATGGACGCATGCATCGCGGTGGCTTCGGCACGACGCCACCAGGCTGCGGTCGGCGCCGAGATGATCGCTACGGTTTTCCCCTACCGACCTATCAGACTCTGACGGAAATCTTCTTCGTTCGGTCGGGAGGAAGTGCGCTCGGGGAGCACGAGGCTCTCCGGGAGTTCTGGCTCCTTGGGGTATTCAGGGGCATGCTTAAGGTGTTTTCTCGGGAAAACGGTCTATGATTTCATGACCTGGATTGACCTCGGCGTATACTCTAAGATGCATAAAGATTCCGTAATGGTCAAGTAAGCTCAGGTTCACGGCCAAGCCGAAGAGGTCGCAGGGCTTGCTGGTCTAGAACCGACCTCGGAAGTGCCGCGCCCGAAACTTGGGATGATATGCTCGACCCTGCTCCGATGTTTAATCGTGCTCTGATTCTTTTGCAGGCTAGACTGGGCTTTTTCTTTCAAGGTCTTCAAATGAAATTATTGCCGTGACCTCATGCCATCTATCGCTCATACACCGTTCGAGATTGAGAAACCTGGTGGCCAACACTCTGTGATTCATCGCCCAAACCGGTCCATTCCAATACCCAGGAAGAGATTGATACTCCATGGAAATGAAATGTATACTTGCACTCGGATGGTAAAGCCCTCGGCGAGCCCGAGTCAGCCTGTTCAAAGACGCCTTTGGCATAAATCACGTATTGGCCAGGAATATAGTCTGCATCATGTTTCTTTCGGTAGAAAGGTGTTGTGGGTTGTATGTAATGATTGAACCGCTGCTCAGTCTGTCTGTTCATTTTGGTTTCGGTAAGGACTTTGATTCCACTTCCATCAGTTTCTGGCGCGCGAAATATCCACGAATTTCTTAACGAGAACGATCTACCATGAGCCGAAACAGACTGTTCGAACTCGTGACACACATATTCCTTGTCCAACGCCGGATTAAACAGATAGCGCGGGTGTAATGTCACAGAGCCATGCACATTTTCGGTTCCGCCATTATGACTCCAGGTATGAGTTCGATGAACTTGCCAGGTGCCATGCAAAGCGCGGAAGATAACCTCTGTGGCCGTTGATTCACTGGAGGCAAGCGTAGATTTGAGAAAATTCAAGCTGGTCTTTGCTTCGACATTCATCGTGGCTTGATCTTTGCTTGGGTTTGTGGAAGATACCGGAGGATAGACATATCGAGCTGGTGCAACAGGCCCAGGTCTACCTTCGCTTTCAGATAGCTCTGCGCGACGAATGCCCAGGTCTCGAGCAAACGACTCCATCAACCCAACATAGTCGCCCATAGGAAACTGGCCACGACGAAGTCCCGGATCAGCCAGACGGAGGGCTCGAAGACTTTCCCTCTGGTCTTCTGTTTTAGAGAAATGTGCAAGGTCATTGTCTGTTGACCATATCTGCCCCAGTAATCGTGCTTGCATTTCCATCACACCCCAATAAGGCCCGCGGTAAAAGCCTACGAAACCAAAATCCGGCATCTCGGATCGCACGGTGCCTCCCTTGTCCAGAATCAGAGGCGAATGCGAGTCTTCGGCGGAGTATTCAAGAGCCGATAAAACATCATCTGGCAGAAAAGACAACGAGTCAAAGGGGGTATAACCCGTGGCCAAGACGATAGCTGTCACTCTATCTATTGTTTTGATTTGTCCACCGTGAACCTTGACCGTAATTGAAGCCAACCCATCTTGGCTACCATGCTGCACCGAGACGGCTCGACCCATCGTGCGCTCTATCGCTTGAGATCGAACATACTCCGCATAGTCATTTCCGATAGCCACCCAGGGAGCGCGCGTGTCAGCTTCGTCACCATTATATGGCTGATGCGCATGGCCGAACCGTTCGTAATCCGGTCCAAGGAGAGAATGGAAGTATTTGTTGGTCTTTTGTGCCTTCTCTGCTGGAATTGGTCCTACTGCATATTCCACTGGCCCGTTTGACCGGCGACTCAGGTCATACATGACCAGATCCAGAGGCAGGAATGAAATAGTGTCGTCGCCTGTCTCATGGGGTAGATAGGTTGGTAGTGTCCAGAAGGGGTGCGAGTAGATATGATGCACCACTGCTGTCTCACTTGAGGATTGAGGTTTCGTCTCTGTAGAATGTGCTGTAGAGGATTGTTGAAGAGCAACAGCCGAGGCGGCTTCAACGCCAGACATACTACCACCAATGACAATTACATTGCCGTGGGCCGTATCAGAGTTGTTGCACAACAGAAAACCATTTTTGTCGAATCGAAGGACAGAACTATGCACGGCTCTGTCTGGGAATTGATCCAGGCCTGGGATGTCAGGTATACAAGGGCGTGCAAAGTGCCCAGATGCGACAACAAGCAAGTCGAAGTCTTCCGAGGCAACTTCGCCATTTGGTCCAGCACTAAACAGACAAAGGATGAGTACATGATAAAACTTGGTCAGCAAGGACTCACCTATCTATAACCCAATAGACTGTCCATCGTGTAGCTCCTTTCTCGACTCGTCGTGTCGTACGCACCACTTTATGTCCTAGTCTTAGCAAGCTCTGCGGGACATATCGTTCGCGATATTTAGCCAGATACGTGCCCACTTTTTTTGCGCACGGAAATAGAGGGATTTCCGCATCAGGGAAAACAGATTCCCAGGCTAGGTCAGAGAAAGCTACGGTAAAGCGACTGAGGTTCGTGTGCATCCAGGGATCCAGTCTCCTTGCACTAACATGGTCATCCCATGTGACTGGCCAGAGCCCGCCAATTTGGTCACGGCTGTCGAAGACAGTGGGGGCAAAGGTTTCTGGTGGGAAACTATGGAGAAGAGTCTTTGCTGTGACAAGCCCTGACGGGCCGGCGCCTGGCGATGGGATGAGACGGATTTTACCAGAAGAGACTCAAGGCAGTGAATACTTACCAATGATAGCAACCTTTTTGGGAGCCATATCGTGCAGTCAACCGCCGGCGACGTTTCTATCTTTGTGAGGTGTTATTTTTGGCCTCGTTGGTTCGTGGAGTTGCCACCATTCTGTTTCGAGAATGGCACAGGTGTGTAAGTTGGCAGCAAAGTTCCAGAAAACTCAATTAGCCTTGTGTCCTGCTCGATCCAGTAACGATACACTGGTTGGTTGGGGTTCTCCGCGGGCGAGGGTTGTAGACTGAGCGTTGATAGTCGAACCCACTTACCCCGCCTGCGCAGTCAGTTGTCTGACCAAGTATATCCACGGAGCATTTCGATATTTCATTCTCATTATTATTAGGCTGTTAGCAACATATTGCTATAGTATTAAGCTAAGATCTAGTATTTCAGCATCGAACATTATTATCCTTCCGATCCAATCCCTTTCAAGGACCACAAAGACATATTATGTATTGCAGATCAGGCCGGTATATCGAATCGGCAGGGGCATTGTGCCCTATAAAAGAGATGATAGACAACACATTCAGTGATGTGTACGCCGTGTTGTGATCCGCTGTCGTGCCAACTTAGCAAGTATTGGTAGTCTCTTGTGGAACCAAATAGCAGCCCTTCCAACAGACCCAATAGCAACCCAACCAATGACTGCATTGTGTATTTGTTTGGGCTAGCATAGTCGACGACTTGGCCCGTCTCGGCATGCATAGTCCGGCAACGCCTTGCGCTATGACGTTACTGCCAAGGCTTAAATGGCCCGAAGGGAGACGATAGTTTAGTTTCCCCCCAAGCAGTTGCGGGCCAAGAGAGTCAATATTCCGTCGGGCGCAATGAAGCCACACTCGGACCGTCGAGTAGGATTATTGAAGACAGTGCGGGGTAGGAGACCCTGTCCAAAGTCGAAGACGTCGACAAAGGTCGAGAACGCAGCCCGGTGGAGCACGCCAAATAATCAGTAGAGCCGCTCTAACCATTCGGCGACCTCGATGTCTGGCGTGCGCTGCTCCCGTTGACAAGCCTCCTTGTATTCCTGCTCGGTAACGAAGGTGTCGATATTCCGGTGGGTCAGGGGAACCCTGAAGCGGTTCTTCTGGCGCAGCACCTCTTTCTCTGCGAAGGAAGACGGTGACAGTTTCGATAGGGTGTTTCGCAGACGCCGTATACCGCCGTTAGGGAACGAGCGCGGGACCTGTGGCGGACCGAATGGAGTGTCGACTTTCCAAGGCCCTTCGGAGTTCACGGACCGGACGTTCTTCTTGCGCTGGGAAGAAAATCGAGACATGGTGTTGAACACAATGAGTTGTGACAGAGTGAGTTGGTGAGTAGGAGGAGGAAAGGTTTCGAAGGATAGATATAGTTCCAAAAATCTTCCCTCGTGGGTCAATACCGAAGAGGGGGAGGCAGATTTGGGTATTTATTGGTCGTATCTTGTCGCGATGCGCGGGGCACTTGTATACAGCCGTGTTATTATTGGACCAGAGGTGCGATCGAGCGTTTGGCGTGCAGTAATTAGTCGCCTTCGCACGGCACACTCATGCCGATTATGTTGTATCTCCACTATTCAGCCCTGCTGAGGACCAGGGTCTTGGGGCCATTATTACTCTTATCCTTGTCCGATCAAAAAGGGCCGGAGGCAAACGATACTCACTGCAAAACGGGGCTCTACGTCATCTCGGAACAGGCATGCCGATCGTATTGTTCAGTGGAGACAAAGACAAAGAATCTGAAGCACTTTATTATTGTCAACAAAGGAGAACGCATCTAGTCCAAGCTGATCCGAGATGGATGGCAACAAGAGAAAAGTGTGTTTGTGCCAGTCGGAGTATGGAGCAACCGGATGCACAGTAGAACGTGCACTAGGGTTGGCATGTGGCAAATCATAGGGCCAATAATTATCCGCATAACTCTAAACGGTATGTCAAGATGATTGATTAACAGAAAACAGGAATCGACGAAAGGGAAATTAATGACCCTAATTAACTTAACATGCTGCGTGGCATATGATTATTTACCTACAACAAAAAAACCTTGTATTGAACAGGATAGATGCAAACTACTTTCATTATGAGACAGCAAGCTTGCTATACAACCGCAGTTGGACAAAGTCCGATCACCATTCAATAGCAAGGCAGGATATTGTCCCGCCTACAGGAACAAAATGCAGAAAGAATTAGAACACTCAAGTCTCAGAAATTTCCATCAACGTAACTCGACATTCTCCACATTAACGGTATCCGCCTTGTCGTGGCTGCCGTGGCCAAGCTGCGCTGCCTTTTGGTGCGCGAGAACCTCCTCACCCTGCGTGACGTGGTTGGCGCCGCCGAAGAGAGCGTCAATCTCCTCGAGGGTGACCTGCTTAGTCTCCGGGATGAAGAACCACACGAAGAGAGCAAGGAGGAAGTTGATTCCCGCGAACAGGTAGAACGCGTAGAAGCCTTCGTTGTCGATGAAGATTGGGAAGAACTGCTGGAAGATGGTGTTGGCGACATTCTGTGTTTGCGAGGCCATGCCCACGGCCTGAGCGCGGACGTTCATCGAGAAGACTTCAGAAGTCCAGATCCAGACGGTGGCTCCCCATGACGGTTTGTCTGCGCAAGCGTTAGTTACTTCGGTTGGCAAGAGAGAGATAGAGAGAGAGTGTGTGAGGTAACTGACAGAATAATATAAAGAGGAACATGAGGAACACAATCGAAATTCCAACAGGCTCCGACTTGGCGCCACTAGGAAGCGTCGGAGTTTCAGTCTCAACAGCCGCAGCAATGATCATGCAGATACCCATTCCAATACCACCGATAATGAGCAGGGGTTTGCGACCAAACCTGTCGACGATCCACACGGCGTTGAGGGTGAAAAGAATACCAAACGTGGCGTTGAGAGCATTGATCAGCGAAATCTGGCTCGCTTCGGTGAAAATCTTCTCGTAGATCTTGGTGGAGTATGAGTTCAACGACCCTTGACCCGTGAGCTGCTGACCGGCGTTGATAACCAGTGCAAGCATCATGCGTTTGCGCAGTGACTTGTCTTTCCAGAGCGCGGAATAGTTGCTTGAAATGGCCTCTTTCTCATACTCGAGAGCTTCGCGGATCATCAACAGCTCTTGCTCAACCTCTTCCTCGGAGTCTCGGACTCTGCGGAGAGCAGAACGAGCCTTTTCAATTTGGTTGCCATGCTGGATGAACCTATTCAATCTTAGCATTGTGTGTTTCTTTACCTTTTAGAACGCACTCACCATCGCGGACTTCCAGGAATAGTCGGCAGAAGAATAAGGATTAAGACGGGGACCAGGAGCTGGAAGATAACGACCAACTTCCAGTCCCAATTTCCCAGCTTGTCCACATTCTTTGTGCAGGCATAGGCGATCCAGAAGCAGATAAACGATCCCACAGAGTAAAACATCTGCCAGAAGGTCATGATCTTGCCACGGATCTGTGCTGGCGCCAGTTCGCCGATATAGATGGGGCCAGCAGCTGAAGAGATGTTAGCAAAATGGGGATTCAACTTCGATGGGACTATAGAACTCACTCAAGGCAATGCCTTGACCAATACCAATAATACATCTTCCAGCAAGGAAACAAGCCAGGCTGTGGTAGGGAGCAAAGGTCTGCATGAATGTCGCAATGATAACCAGAGCACAGCCTGTGCCCATTGCAACCTTACGGCCGAGGTAGTCGGACACAGGACCGCCCAGGAAGAAACCTCCAAAAATGGCTCCGACAGTGTACGCCGTGTTCACGGAGCCGATTGTCGCATCGTTGGGCTCATTGAACCACGTCATCCAGTTGTCGGAGCCCTGCACCGAGTTGAACACGGATGCATCGTAACCATAAAGCACCATGCATGATGCTGCGACGAGGGAGACAAACCTGGGCTAAAGTCAGAAAATGTTTCTAAATGAGGAGAGGTTTACCCAACCAGTTGTAGGCTCGCTTGGAGCGAAGCCAGTTGCTCGTCATTGTGCCGACAATATAATAAGCCGCGTATAATAAAGGGAGGGGACTAAGTAACAAGCTCCAGTTGATCGTTGGACACTTCCTGTGGGGTTGATAGCACCGAGAATGAGTGGGAAACTCCCGGAGAATATACGAAACAACAGAGCAACCACCGACAGAACCCCAAAAAAGAACGGGCAGACTCCACAGCTATATAACCGACCCCAGGTCATTCTGGAGCTCTCCGTGCCCTGGGTATTTTTCACATGGCACCAACCAGACAATCTGGGGCAAGTGACTGCCCCCAGACGTTGGTGCTAGGGCTGGTCGGTCCCGGCCCGCTGAGTGGTGGGGATTCTGGAGTAGAACGCCAAAATGCTCATTGGCCTCGACCTTGTTAGGATCAAGACGATCTGGGGTTCGAGGATATTTTGTGCCGCAATAGACAAGGAAATCGGATTTCCACGAATCGGCGGCCGAGTGACCGGGGGTTGGGGAGAAAGCCAACTCCACCAATAAACGCGAGCCCATGAGATTTCAGGTGAAATGAAGCGAGCGATGCTTACATCACAACAGGAAGCGATGCCTATCTAGTCAACTAGTTAGCCATTATTTTCAACGCCCTTGGTACAAAAGTCTTGGTCTTACGAAGTCGCGTGACATATCTTTCGTCCCCAGAACCAATTTCCAGTCAGAGTATCTCTTGTGGCTGCTGCAAAGCTCTGCACTTGGTCTTTGAAGTTCGATATAGTCAAGTGCAAGCGCATACGACATTGGATGTCTTTCTGCCTGTCACTGAGGTTGAGTAGTAAAACATCGATAGTTAATGCAGAAATATATTTTTGTGGTTCTGGATCATGGGAAGCCAAAGACGTAAACAATGAGGGTTGAAATGTAAGGCTGAAGAGAAAACAGTAAGTGTCTTCCAGCTCACCACATTGACCGAGCCCACACAAAGGACCACTACCAAGAGAATTACGATGTTTGCCGAGCATGGCCATCTTTGACTGCGTTTGCTCTTTTGCGGTTATATAGATCGCCGGCCCACGTGATCGCGCGAAGATCTGACGCGCGCATTTAAAGATCGGCGTCGCTCAACTTCACCAACAGCTTGGACGGGCCCTCGCTTTTTCACTCTCCATGACCTCCTCGAAGCTCTCGCATACTTTTTGGCCTTCCTATTTGTCCTTGCTCGTTTCCATCCTTTCCACACCATGCCCCACAGATCTCGCAAAAAGCAAACGCGACTTGCCTTTGCTTCCGCGCCACCAGAAACTGAAGCTGCTGGTGACAGTCCCACCAAAAGTGACGGCCGCTTCGCTCGACTAGAATATGGACATCCCAGCATGGCCTCTTTACTCACGGGAAAGTCTCGCAACAGTCAGCACGCAGCTTCGAAGGATACCACTCCGGCCAAATCGTCTATGCGCAAACACGAATCGAAAGACAAGTCGCGATCAAAGAAGAAAAAGCACACGATCGAGAATGAAAGTGAGGATGTTTTTCAAGGTGAGCTTCGTTCCTGATTTTTCCCTCATTCTAGGCTCACTGACAGGCTATAGACAACCAGACTTCTGTGAAAGAGCCCGTCGATAGCGCCTCCTCAGAAGACGATATTGTCGTGCCAAGCACCCAAAAGAGGAAGAGACGCCTGCCCTCCACCGCTGAGATTGGAACCAGGGCCCTACACGCTACGGACAAGCCGGCCATGAGTGATTCGAAGGATCCGGGATCTCGAACACGGCGCAAGCTCAAGCGGAAAGCAGAAAGCTCGCCCATCGTTCTGAGTGATTCTGAGGATTCAGATGAACCAGTTCTCTCGTCACCCATCAAGAGGCGGCGGAGGGCAGCGGACACGGAGACCCCTCAGACACCGCACTCGTCTGCCGATCGAGATAGATTGGATATTGAAGAAGACCTAGAGGATCTCCAAGATTCAGGTATGTTTTGTTTCATTATTCTCCACAGCAGCTTTCATCCGTCTAAATTTATGTTAGTCGTCAAGAAATCGCGAACTCGAGGCCGGCTTGCCGGATCGGCTCGGGACAAGAGGCAGAAGCACCTAGAAGCCCTCCGCCGCAGACGAGCCGGACTGAAGGAAGAAAGTGAGACTGAATCAGAGAACGAAACAGACCCTGATGAAAGCGAAATCCCTACAATTCAGCAAACTGTCGATATCCGTCGCATCACAGTGGACGACAGTGATGTTGAATCCGCTATTCTTAGCGATGAGGATCTCGATCGCTACGAGGATGACTTTGTGCTGGAGGACGAAGACAAGCTGGGCGTACCAACCGAAGAAATCCCATTCGAATTCACGCGGCACGCGTACAAGCAGCTCAAAGAATACTTCCGGGATGTCGTGGAGTGGATGGTGCACAACAAGCTCAATCCTGCATTCCCCCGCAACAATGCCATGTACAAAGTGGCATTCATGAAACTGGACGATGAAGTCAAGGGCCGCGCGGGATCCCAGTTGATTTCTTCCGTGTGGAATGCCGATTTCTGCAGAGCCCTCATGGCTCGGCCTCAGATTGAAATGACCGCTTTTCCTACCGCTCTGGACCACCCGTGCGATGCCTGTAATCGGTCCAAACACCCTGCCTCCACCGATATGAAGCTCTATGGCAAGGCATACTCCCTTGAGACACTCGAGCCGCTGAACGATGATTCGTCAGAGGACAGCGACGAAAGCAAGTCTAGTAGAGACGAGAACGAGGATGAGGATTCCGGAGAAGAGCGGGACAGAGACGGCCATGTGTTGCCGCCTGAGAGCAGGCGCTTTCTCCTGGGCAGGTGAGTTCTTTATTTGCCTTCTTCTGTGACCAGCAATTTAACCAAGGTTTGTATCAGGCAATGCAAAGCCAAAGCCGAGCTCGCTCACACTCTGACCCATTGGCGCTTCCACCTCAACGAATGGGTCGTCGGCTACCTCGAGCGCAAGGGTCATATGGACATAGACGAGGTCATCAAGCGGAACGACATGAGCCAGAAGCGCAAGATGAAGAATGCAAACGCCGCCGTCGACCGCATGGTCGAGGCGGACGAGATCGAGAAGCTGTGGCGCGACTTCCACCTGAATCTCAAGTCTGCGCGGGAGAATACGGTACGTTTCCCTTCTATGGGTCCATTCGAGCAAGATACTGATTTTAATGCTATAGTCAACTTTGGGATGAAACAACGCGCCATTACTCTTTTTCCTTCTGCTTCCAGTTCCCCGGCCTGTTCTTGGGCCTCAATTTTGGCTGCGTGCTTTGCATTTCATCTTTCTGCCATGATACCCCACGTTCTTCTCTTTTCTGAGGACATATCTTGATCCATTGCTGGCGATATCCTATTCTGTACCTACATTTGAAGGGTTATCAGGACCTTTCCACATGCGACGCACTTCCAACCAGCCTTTAATGAACAATATGACGTCTCTTACGAATACTAGATTCAGTAGATGAGAACCCGGTAGGAGCTATCTCCGTTTCATTGTCTAGACATGCAATTCGAGAGAAATCATAGAATGAAAGAAGAAACCAAAGATATGTAGATCACATAGATGGAAGAAAACGAAGATTGTGGTGGTACAAATACATGCATGAGGAGCTGCCGGAGCCATTGCGAAGAGGTAGATAGATAGAGAGGTGAGGAAAGAAAGGAGGGCAAGGCAGACAGCAGAGTGAACAGCAACTCAAAGACATAGAATGGTGAACAGTTCGGCCCACAAGGCTCTGTCTGGGTTCCGAAACTCGCCGAGAATAGATCCAATCTCACTCATATCATCAAATCGAGGACAACGTCATCGTTGTTTTCATCGCCTTTTCCAATCGATGGTTTGGTCGTCGGATTATGCTTTGCCAGTCCCTCCGTATTCTGTGGCGGGATTAATTTACAAAGTGGCTTCGGCCTCCTTCTTCTCTGGCTCGGCGCCAGGAGTGAGCATCTGAAAATTAGATGAGATGGTTAGCGACTGGTTCAGTAACGTTTCTAGTAAAATAATCTCGTGGAAACACGTCGTATAGGCACTGCCGGGCCACAAAAAAGTTTCCAAGCCCTCTCTCCGATCTTCCCCGAACAACCAGAAGGTTGTATACAGGCGGAAGAGCACGCCAAAGAAGAAGAAAGAAAGAAAGAAAGAAAAGGATAGCAGCATAAATAAAATTAAAACATACCTCGTTGGCACCACGGATCATGCCCTGCTCCCGCTCCATCTGGATATACTGCTCCTCCTCGGCATAAGCCAGCGCCCAAGGCACACCGATCAGGAAAGCACTGGTGCTGATAATCCAGACAGCCTTGCCGCTGAAGGACAGGCCGGCTTTGGTGAAGGAGGTGAGCGAGGAGACAGAGCTAGAGACGGTTCGGCGGGCGGAGGGTGGGATCATGTCTTTCAGGGCGGAGACGCGGTCGAAGAGTGTCTCGCCCTCGACTTCAACATCGGAGTCATTGGAGATTTCAGATTCTAGTGAGACAGGACATGTTAGATTGTTTTGTTTTGATGGGTTTGTGTGCGCGGAGGAATGGTGATGGTGCCGCGAGCTGTTTCTTGCCGAGTGGAGCGGTTTCCTGAGCACGTCTGATAGAAGCCTGAACTCCAGCGAGACAAAAATCGGTGGAATGCTTCGAGATGATTCCCAACACATTGGACAATGGGTGCATGGCGCGTTCTGTTGCGGTTGCAAGAGGATGCGTGCAAGATGAATACTAACCGGTGTCGCTGTAGTCCTCATCATCAGAGACTAGAAGAGCATCGTTCTTAGTGCTAGTGGGCTTCTCCGTGTTGAAGTGCTCGTCCTCAAACTCCTCAAGCTTGACCATGTTGGCGGTGTTGTAGGTTGCGTGTGATGAGAATAATAGGGTGAGTTGAGTGTTCAAGTGACGGAGGAAGAACGGGCAACTCGACTTTTTTGCCGTGAAGGCGGTGAGAAGGAGCATCACCATACTGAAGTTGGATTGATAGAGGGAAGGAGTACAATCCTAGTATTTATTCTACAGAGTTGAATGATGACGGGGTCTATAATTACAAAATCCCAGCTGTTTTACCTCCGGCCCAGCTTCCACCGCGCAATGCGTTCCTGGATCTCCTCCCAGGCAAACTCGCGCAGTTTGTAGCCCTCTAGCTCGCCCTCCTGCAGCACCACAGTGGGCTTGCCGGTTCCCTGACCCTTGTTCTGGATGTGTCCACCAAAGACCTGCCTGGCGACGCGGCGGAGATCCTCGACGGTCAAAGACTCGATTTGCTCACACATCTCCTTCACGCCCACCTTGCGCCCATGGACCTGCACTTGACGCCCGAGGTCCTCGAGCTCGACCATGCGCGATTCCAGGTTCATCAGCAGCGATGATCGAAGCTGGTTCTTCGCGCGGTTGACTTCCTGTGCCTGCAGCGCTGTATATCCCGTGTCTAGGGTCAGGGACTGCAGCTCGCGGCACATCACCTCGAGCATCTCGGTGGTGCGGGTTGGGCTGCACGACGCCGAAATGCCGAAGATTCCGCTGTCGGTATAGCTGTGGTTGAAAGAAATGCAGCTCTCAACCCAGCCGTGCTGGTTCAGTACATTCGTGTAGAGGCGGGAGTACATGCCCTTGCCAGGGCCGCCGGCCGAGAACGACCCGCCGCCGCCGAGGAGGGTCTGAAGAGTCGCGAGTGCGTAAATATCAGGAGAGGAGATGGGGAGGGCCTCGAAGGCGAGGTGAATGTGACTCAGTCGGGGCAGCATCGGGTTTGCTGGCGGGGGAATCGGAGGAAGGGCAATGAAGCCGCCGGTGTAGTGAGCGGGTCGGCGAAGGTCCAGCGTAGATGGCTCGATCAAGGACGGGTCGAGAGGCTCGACTGTGGCGTTGTTATTTGTAGATAGCGAAAGCTTCTTGAGGAAGGGAAGCTTGGAGAGGATCGACGACTGGGAGTTGGGAGAAGTGGCCGGGCTGCTGATGGTCGACGACGGCGTGAACTGAGGAACTGTCGGCACTTGGCCCTCCTTGGCCGCATTAGGCGATTTTGACAGGGTGGTTTCAATGCCCGACCCAGACAGAACGGGACCGTTGCTCTTGCTTAGATCACTCGTCTGCATGTCACCAAAATATTGCTCGGTGAGTTTGATGGCCTCGGCATGCGCCACTCCGGCGAACGCAACTACCATCCGGTCCGGGTTGAAGAATACCTCCCTGTATCTCTCCACAACTGCCTTGTTGATCTCACCCAGTCTCTCGCTCGGACACAGTAAGGGGTTTCCGAGGGTGTTCTCCTTGTATGCGGCCATGTGCACAAGCTCAGGCAGAATCAACTCCGGCTTAGCCCAGATCTCGCCGATTTCATATTCCGCCGTCGCGAGCTGCTGAAGGACTTCCTCGTCTGTGATGAGAGGATCACGAATAGTCTCAGCCAGCAGACCGAGAGTCGTGGGAACCGCCGAGTTGAAGCTGGCCGACTGGTACATCAACGACTCGCGTGACGAGGCGCACTGGATGTTGCCGCCCAGGGACTCGAGTATCTCGAGCATTTGATCTCCGGTATGCGACTTGGTCGATTTGAAAGCTAGTCGGTCCATAATGTGACTCACTCCGCGCAGGCTGGCGTCCTCATAACGGGATCCGGCGTCGACGTAGACTCCAACGCCGGCAAAGGGACCGGGAAGTGATTCCGTGGCGACGCGGATTCCGTTCGGAAGAGTGGTGATTTGGTCTAATTCGGCAGGATCCTGCAAGCAATCACAAAAACAGGGGCGTTAGTTCAAGGATAAAATAAATGGCGCGCTCTTATCGAGGGTGGGTTAGTTACCTTGCCCATGGACTCATTAAGGGTAGCGAAACTTCTTGACACCGAGCGCGGAGCTCGTGCAAGCGGCTTCGCGGACCCAATCGTCCGCAATGCTGACCGGCGCATAGTGGAAGACGCACGGGAAAAAAAGTGAAGGTGGTCTCTCGCGAGGGTTGCAGAAGCTGCTCGATTTGGGCGGCGAAGAACGGAGAACGGAGCCGGGCTTACCTAATAATCCGTGGCCTGATTCTCCAGTATAGGGTGAAAGAGGTTGCAATTTGGCCCGAATATATTAATCTGATTGAGTTAAAGGAATAGTAGGTGCATTATATTTCATTTGATTTCCTAGCAATGTTCGTTTTGCCTGGAGTATATAGGTTGGTGGCAAGTATCCTCGCGCTTACCAAGGACGACCAGTCCAGAATCGTAACAATCCCTCCACAATTACTCATATTTCATAGCCCATTCTCTTTTACACATGACCCATCTTAAGAATGCTCCAAAGCCCAGTTGCGATACCAATCAAGGCACGCAGCATTGGCAACGCTAGCTCCGATCTTGATGTTGAGGCCGCACAGGATCTGCTTGACGGCATTCTCAACTTTCTTGCCGTTCGAGGTGACCGGGATCTCCGGGCATGCATCGATAATAGCGGGTACATGGCGAGGGCTGAGTTCCTTGCGAATGGTCGTCTGGATGCGCACCGCCAGATCCGCCGGCATGGGGCCTCCCTTATTCGGCTTCACGAAGAGAACGACGGTCTCGTCTGAATCGATGCCCTCGCGTCTCCGGCCCACGCACAGGGAGTCCTCAACCTCATCGGCAAAGTGTTTCAGCAGGACATTGTAGATTTCCGCGCTTCCAAACCGAACCCCCGACGGCTTGAGCACACCGTCACTCCGGCCCAACATGACCACGCCTCCTGTCTTTGGGTTCAACCGCACAAAGTCGCCGTGGTGCCAAACTGTGGGACCGAAGAGATCGAAATAACTCTTCCGGTACTTCTCTAGGCCCGTTGGGCCTGGCGGCCAGAACATGACTGGTTGCGCGGGGAAGGGAGTGGTGCAGACCAAGTCACCTGGTTCGCCAGAGGCACTGATGTCGTTTCCAGCGTAGTCGTAGACGGACACCGCCATCCCAAGAGAGCGGCATTGGATCTCGCCCTTATAAACAGGCAGGATCGGGCATCCGGAGCAGAACAACGACAGTATATCTGTGCCGCCGGTGATGGAGCCGAGCATGATGTCCTGGTGAATGGACAAATAGATGTACTCAAAAGTTGAAGGGGCCAGTGGGGATCCGGTGCTGAAGATTGCTTTCAGGGTCTTCAGACTCACCGGACGGTGCGGGTGCTTGCGTGGGTTGAGGGCTGCTTGTTCCAGCATCGAGAGGTACTTTGCTGAGGTGCCGAAATGGGTAATTTCGAGTTCATCAATCAGCCGTGGCATAGCCATCTCCCCATTGCCTCCTTCAGAATCAAAAGGCCGGAATGGCGAGCCATCATACAGGACAATTGTTGCGCCGCTGGCCAAACCGGAGACCAGCCAGTGCCACATCATCCACGTTGTCGTCGTAAAGTAAAACAGACGATCCCCTGGCCGGATTTCGCAGTGAAGGAGATGCTCTTTCTTGTGTTGCAGCAACGTACCCAAGGACCCGTGCACAATAGGCTTGGGTGCGCCTGTCGTACCGGACGAGTACAAGATGTAGACCGGGTGTTCCGGGCTCAAGCTCGCAAACTCCATCGGTGCTGCCTGGTTACGCACCGTGGACAAGAAATCGCGATAGCCAACCGCCTTCCCGCTGACGGGCCGTACTTGATCCATGTTGAACTCGGTCACTTTGGCCGTTTCAAAGACAACAAGGAACTCCAACTTGGGTAACTCCCCCACAATCTCACGCACCTTGGCATGGGAGCCGTGCACCTTGCCGTTATAAAGGGAGGCATTATCCGCAAACAAGACCTTGGGCTCAATCTGCTTCAATCGTTCCAGAACGGCATGTACTCCCGTGTCAGGAGATACGCCGGTCCAAAAGGCGCCCAGGGACGCTGCCGCCAGCATCGCCACGACGGTGTTGGCGTGGTTGCCCACAAAGCCTGCCACGCGATCACCGGTCTCCACGCCCGCTTCTTTCAAGGCGTTGGTGCATTGCCGGACCCGCTCGCGCAGTTCCTTCCACGAGACATACTCGCGGTCTGCTTCGGTAGCTGCAATGATTGCAACCGCATTCTCCTCTGGCGAATTGCCCGGGTAAAGAAGGTTCTCTGCGAAGTTCAGAGTACTCCCTTTGAAAAACGCGGGTCGGGGAAACATGACTTCATCCGACTCCAGCACCTAAATCCGTACATTAGCAGGGGTGCGAGGTCAATTATCCGTTCTTCTTACTTGTTGATATGGAGCATGCGCCTTGATGGAGGTATAGTGCCAGATCTCTTCCCAGAACTTGGCCGGTTCCGAAACGCTCCATGTCCAGAGGTCATTGTAGTGCGCCAGGGACAGGCCATGCTTTTTGTTCACGCGAGTCATAAAATCGTAGATCTGGGTCGTCTCCGGCGCGGAGGGCCGCCACAGCTCCTTCACGTCCGTGGCAGCCTCGTCGACTAGAATAGCCTCATTGATGTGCGGCATGGCTTTGAAGCATCAATGGGTGCGAGACAGAAAAGAGAAAAGGAAAGAGGAGGGAGAAATGGTGTCGTCGGTGATAGTCGGTGGATTCAAAAATTTTGACAGAGAAGGGTTGCCGGATTGATTGGGGTATCGTTTCTCTCCCTCTGATTCGCGCAGACAGCACCTGCAGGAATGAAACCGCCAACAAGGGGATCGCGGGGGAAAAGCGGCTTGGATCGGGAAGGCCAGTGCCGCCGCCGACAATCTCCGCGGCTCGGCGAGGGGCCACTTTACCGATAAGGAATTGAGTATGTAGAAAGACTACCAGAGTAGGTAGTATGGATGCGAGACTGGCCAGAATGGAATCTATTCCCAGTCGCAGTGGCTATGATGTAGACTCGAGGGAGGACAAAGACCGTCTCATTCCTGAAGTACATGGGGGGAACTAATAACTGCCTCAGGCACCCAAGATTACTCAGCCTGTTTCACTGGGTCTCGACCTAGACGTTTTCATCGTTTCTAGCCAGGAACTGAAGCTTCGCAGGCAGGGGAATAATCATCTACATCATCATCATGTTGGCCAGTGCCACCCTCGGCCGGCGTTCGGCACTTGGCCCATCCTGGCCAAGTGCGACCAAGTGCGACGCCCGTCACCTGGGGTATGAAGTCTGGTAGACTGTCAGATAGCTAGCTCGCACCGTTGTCAATAGTCAGTACCTTGAGATCCGTTACTCAGCCCCTGCCCGACTGGTGGTGGACCCGATTGTTCTGTTCTGTATCAAGACAAGTTGGGACCCGAAGAAAAATTAAGTGCGTGTAATGTGACGGTATGGACTCCGTGGAAGCTCCAGTCCAGCCTGGAATTTACGGTAATACCATACTCAGGAGAGGACCACCGTAGAGCACCCATTAACATGATACTCTTACCTGCTCTTTCTTCCGCTTGTTCTTCCTCTCTCCCTTCCGTCTCTGTTCCCTTTTCCCACAATCATCCATCTTGCTGCCTGGGAAGAGTAGATCGGGGACTCTTTTCCTCCCGGCCATCGTGTTCACTCCCTCTCCAATCCCTCCGCCCGCATTCCGCGCGACCTTTTTTTCTGCAGGCCCTCCCCCGGAGTCCGCGGATACAGTCTCCTGGTCCCTTCCTCGACCAACCGGTACGTCTACGCCTCGCCGGCTCATCCGGCATTGTTTCGTTGGCATGGGCTCTTCCTGTGCTTGCCAATTCTCACGTGCCTTCCGGCCCCCGTTTCCTGAGAGACTAAAAAGACAAGTCCAAGACTAATGTCAGCCCCGTATCCAGACCTGCCTCTTCGCAATACACAAACAGAACGCACCCCGCAACGGAGCCTCTGCAGCGACAAATAGTCTCGCTGTTCTTGTTCCAGCGGGTAGTCCCTGCCTCAATCATCTGTCGGGAGCCCGCGCGTGCCCCCTGATCCTGACGGGATCGAGTCACCCTGCCCAGCCCTCCATCGCGGCTTCCCTCTTGCGATGCCTCGTCGATTCAGCAACAACTCCTCCAAAGACTCCTCTTCCAACTCACCGTCCTTTTCAGCTCCTTCGGGAAAGGGCAGTCTCGCCATCAAGGCGCCCTCGGTCAAGTCAAATCGCCTGTCCCAGTTCTTTTCGGTCTCTCCGAAGTCCTCCAAGACCGAACCACAACCTGTGCCAGCGGCGCCTCAACAGGCCGTTGCCAATCCTAACACTGCTTCTCCGCCGATCAGCTCGGCATCACTGTCCCTACCGACTATTTCTCTTTCGACAGCCACCGCGGATAACCTCAATATGGACGAAGTGCCAACCACGCTCTTTCAGCCTCCGTCCCCCGAGGAAGCACGTCGGCTGGCCAAGCAACACGCCCAATTCGGTGTGATCGGTCATCCCAGCCACCGGTATTCGAGTCGTCACCCCGGCGGTGTCTTCCCGGAGCCGGTGATGGATGAGCCGCCGTATTATTACTTGCTCACGACCTATATCAGTTACTTAATCCTAATCGCCTTTGGACATGTCCGTGATTTCTTTGGCAAACGCTTCCGGGAGGAGAACTACCGACACCTGAAGCCCCGCAATGGGTACGGAGCCCTCAATAGTGACTTTGACAACTTTTATGTGCGACGTCTCAAACTGCGCATCAACGACTGCTTTGAGCGACCTGTCACCGGCGTTCCCGGGCGGATGATCACCTTGATCGACCGTGCTACGAACGACCACAATCATCACTTCTATCTCACCGGCACCACCACCGACACCCTGAATTTGAGCTCGTACAACTATCTTGGATTCGCCCAGTCAGAAGGCCCCTGCGCCGACATGGTCGAGGACACGATCAGGAAGTACGGCATCACTGCCCCAAGCACCCGTGCGGAGGTTGGCACCCAGGATCTTCACCAGGAAGTTGAGAGCCTGGTCGCCAATTTCGTGGGCAAGGAAGACTCGATGGTCTTCTCGATGGGATTCGGCACCAACGCCAACATCTTCCCCGCGCTCGTCTCCAAGGGCTGTCTCATCATCTCCGATGAGCTGAACCACGCGTCCATCCGCTTCGGTGCCCGTCTTTCCGGTGCATCCATTGCCATGTTCAAGCACAATGACATGAAGGACCTGGAAGTGAAGCTTCGCGAGGCTATCTCCCAAGGCCAGCCCCGCACCCACCGTCCCTGGAAGAAGATTCTGGTGGTGGTGGAAGGTCTGTACTCGATGGAGGGATCCATGTGCAATCTTCCCGGTTTGGTTGCGCTGAAGCACCGTTACAAGTTCCATCTCTTTGTCGACGAAGCTCACTCAATCGGAGCCATTGGCCCCAAGGGGAGAGGTGTGTGTGATTACTTCAGCATCGACACCGCCGAGGTGGATGTCCTGATGGGCACCCTCACCAAGTCATTCGGCGCCAACGGAGGATACATTGCGGGTGACAAGGTGATGATCGACAAGCTACGCGCCACCAACGCGGGTGTGTTCTACGGAGAGTCGCCCGCCCCCGCAATCCTCGTCCAAATCTCTTCCGCCCTGCGTATCATCAACGGCGAGATTGTCCCTGGCCAGGGCGAGGAGCGGTTGCAGCGATTGGCTTTCAATTCGCGATACCTTCGTCTCGGACTGAAGCGTCTTGGCTTTATAGTATACGGTCACGACGATTCGCCAATCATTCCTATTCTTCTTTTCAATCCGGCCAAGATGCCCGCGTTTTCACACGAGATGCTCCGGCGGAAGATTTCTGTCGTCGTTGTCGGATACCCCGCCACCCCATTGGTCTCATCCCGCGCTCGTTTATGCGTGTCTGCCGCCCACACGAAGGAAGACCTTGATCGTGTTTTGACTGCCTGCGACGAAATTGGCAATGTGCTCCAACTCAAGTTTTCAACCGGCATTGCCGGCGGCGCTCTGCCTCCCGCTGAGGGCATGACCCCTCCCCCGGAGATGGAGAAAGAGTGGCACCGCAAGCGCGCCTCCACTGTCATTCCTCCCCGGTGGCGGCTGGAAGATGTACTCCAGCGTGGAGTCCAGGATGTCAAATCGCCTTTGTTTTAGTTGGGCTGTCTCATGGCCTTTCTGAGATGTGTCTTTCCCCAGGGGTTGCTTCCACGAGCTCGGTTGGTGCTGGTCACGCCGTGCCGCGGTCTTTGAAATTCAATGTTCAATTGTCTTTTTTTATCTTTTCTCTCTTCAATTCCTAGGTCTTCTTGTTTTGCCCTTGTGACCGTGAATACCTTTCTTAATGGCGCAAATGCATAACCAGCCCAAAGTTGGTCGTTGTATCGGACCAAAGACAAGACCTATGAAGGAGAAAATATGCCGCCCAACAAAGCGGTCTGGGGTTATGCAACCCAGCAACGAATGAAGAACATGCCCCCGTTTACCATGACCCGGCCCTCGGCTCCCTTCTTCTGTCTCCTTTTTGCATTCTTGCATCCATACATCATACATACACCTTTCTTTTTGAATTTTCTTTACCCTCTTATATTTCTTTCTTCTCATTCCACTTACAATACTTTTAATCCCCCTTTCACTTACACTTTCTTCTGTCGATAGATCCGTGTCTGGTTTGCTCCATCAACCATCTGGGCGTACAGTTGGATATCTTATCGAGTTGCATTTTCTTTGGCCGGTTGGCCTATACACATTTGGGCCTCCTGTTCGAAATGGGCTGGCTGGCTGAAAGAAAGGAAGGAAGGAACGGAGGCGCATCGGTAATGGGTGGATGACGACCTCAGGACAACGCATAACCGAAAAAAAAAACCTTACACATTTTCTTCTTGCCTTGGTTGTTTTCTGGGAAAGAGAGGCTCCTTATTATGTCTATAATTAGATGATTGATTAATATCATGTATTTGGATGATCGATGAACAAAACATGTGGCCCTAGAAGATGGCCATGCAGTTCGGCGGGCTGGACACGCCACGCTTGCAGTTGAGCGGACTACTCGAAATAAAGAAGGACCAGCGGTTAAGCCGCTTACAGGTCGCAGCCAGCTCATCGAGATCGAACATCTCGCCGATAGGAACACCCCAGCCGGCCAGGAGATGGTGGTGCAGGTCATGCTCCGGCGACAGCGCGGGGAACACCTCGAAGCTGACCGCGTCCGAAGCCACCGCCGAGAAGTGGTTATCCCACATGAAGCGCAGCACGCGCTCACTCTGCTCGATACCGGCATGCTCGGGCATGGCCTGCTGGCTGTACGCCGTGCGGGCCTCGGCCGACATCGCCGCCCAGGTATCCGGCAGTCCGACCCGGAGGAAGAAGACATCGCCGCGCTGGAACTCGATGTTGCACTCGCGCGCGATCTCCAGCACCTCATCCAGCGAGATCATCTGCCGACTGAGCGCGTTGATGCTGATCCCTTTCTTCTGCGCATAGGATAGGTAGTCGATCAGCACGCCGCGGCCCGCAATGCCCTGCTTCGCCCAGAACCCGATGCCGATGCGCGAGCAGCTCTCGTCCTGGATCTCCTCGGCCGTCGTGCCGCCGTAGAAGACCCGTCGATCTGCGTTCTCGGCCGTGGGCGCGGGCGCGTTGTGGTGCCGCAGCCCGTCCCATTGGGAGCCCTGCTGCGGGTTGAAGTGGTATTCGTCGTCGAAGGCGATGCCCTCGGCGACCCATTTGATGCGGTGCTCGAATGGCTTGCGGCCGAATCCTGTGTTCGGTGAGGATTCATGCCTGTGTGTCGAACTGCACTGCTGGGTTTTACGTACCTGGCGGAGTCAGATTCTCAATGTCCCAGTTTAGACACACCCGCTCGCCGGTCTGGATCTGCGTGCGTGCCGCGTTCGCAACTAGCTCCGGGGTAAGCAGGCGCAACATGCCCAGCCCTTCGTCAGCCGACCCCGCGGGGGAAGGCCAGAAGCGCCGCTTGTCGGGCAGATCGTCGAATTTCTCAGGGAGGTCAGGGATGCCGGACATGATGAATGAACAGAGAGGGATGGGGATGTGTGTGCAGGAAACGAGGGGGTTGCCCGCGTGTTTATATGTATTATGTCGGAACAAGTCCGTGACGTGGCGATGACCCCGCTGGGAACTAAAACGAGAGACAGGTGGAATAATACACATTCTGGCTCACGATATGAATGCAAACGAAAAAAAAAAAAAAAAAAAAATTCTACATATCGTCCAGGTCATCACCGGCCTTGGAGCCCTTCTTTGCAATATCGGACATCTCGTACTCCTCTGTCCGGCTCGAGTTGCCTGCCCGGTCTCCCGCCGACATGGCAATGGCCTGCCGCCCCGTGTCGGAGGACTCGAGGAAGTCGCGCAGCCGGCGTTTGGCTTCCTCGAGAGCCTGTTGGGATGCCGCCTCGGTCATTTTGAGGATGGGGCCCCATAGGTTCAGCTGGTAGGTGATGTAGGCACCGACAGCGCACACGAACAGCAAGAAGAAGTAGGCCGGATTACGGAGAACTAAATGGAGTAGTCATGTCAGTAAACTCAGATACATAAGAGGTTGCTGGGAATAGCACATACCGGCCACGATCTCGTTCCAACCCAACGCCAGAAGCAGACCGTAGAAATACAGCGGAACCTGGGTCATGCCGCCGATGGCACTTCGCTTCGCTTCGACGTAGACCCCGTCGGCGGCTTTCTTGAACCGCACGGTGAGCTCCTGCCGCTTGGAGTCGCCGAGAATAGTCATCTCTTCCTCCAAGCTCGTGCCCTCGTCCTCATCCACGCCGCCGATGGGAGCAAGGTCCTCTTCGTCTGCTGCTGTCGCAGAGCTCGGGGTGTGGCCAATCCACCGATCAAGAGGCGGCGGCGCCGACGTCTCGTCCAGCCGGAATCGAGACAAGAGAGGAATGAGAGTCAGGGTTGACTCGCGGGCTCTCGTGTACACGCCTTCGATGTCGTCCGTGGGGCGCCAGATGCGAGGTACGCCGGCCTCGTCATACCGGAATTTATCTTCAAAATTCTCACGTAGTTTCAGTAGCAGGTTGCCTTCAATCATCTCCTCGTCGATCTTGGAACGCAAAACTCCCCAAGACTTGCGGCGCAGGCGCCACAGCCCGACATCAACTTCCTCCAGACTAGCATCGAAGCTGCTGGCTCTGTCCGTGAATCTTCGCTCGGCGTCGAGCACAGTCTCAACGAAGACATTCCAGATGCGATCCCAGAACGCCTTCTCGGTAGGCTTCTCCCCGGTTTCGGGGGCGCCTCCGCCAGCACGGCCAGATCCCAGAGCGTTGAACTCGAGACCCACAGACTCGCCCAAGCGAGACTGCACCCAACGCTCAACTCGACTGGCTAACCGTCTCATTTCATCGCGCCGGAGACGGGTGCTAACCTCAGCGAGTTCCTTCTCGTACAATCCCAGTTGCTGCTTATAGTTGCTCCAAGAAGTGCCTTCTACCAAAGTCGAGCGAGCAGCCTCCTCGAACTTCTCCAACGCGATATCCGTTTCCTGATTGACGATCTCGGCAAAATCGTAATTGCCACCCTTCTTCTGACCACTCTTAACAGCATTGGTGACCGCGTCGCTGAATTCGCGGATGCCGGACTTGTGCGCCGCCGAGAGTTGACCCTGGAACAATGCCTTCAGTCGAGTATCGACCTTGCCCTCGAGTTCGGCCTTTTTCCGCTGGTAGACGCCCTTGTGGTACCGGCTTGCTTCCGTCTCGAAGCCCTTAAGAGTCTTGGAGCGCGCAGACCGCATGGCCGCCCCCAGTCCACCCAGCACTTCGGGCGCGCCCAGACGTACGGCCTCAGCCTGTTTATCCTCAAATGCAGAGATCGCCTCATCGAAGCCAATCATCACCTCCCGCAGAATCTCATCACAACGGAACTGAGCAAGCAGCTCTTGTTGTGTGGGCAGGTCTAGGTCTTTATTGTTAACAATTTGGTCCCAGATGCCCTCGGCATAATGGGCATATCCGTCTGCTGGAATTCGACGGTGGTATTCGGGCAAGAAGACTCCGTCTTCCGAAAACTCCCCCTGAGGGCATCCTTCTTGGGGTCCCGGTGTCCTTCTCGAAATCGCAGTCCGAGCTTCTTGGTCTCTGCGACAAACTGCTCTGGCTGATAACCCTTGTGCGGAAGTCCGTAGAACTGAAAGTCAAAGTAGTCGTGAATCGTCGAGTTCTCGAGCCCAGCAGGCTTTGATATCGATCCCCACAGACGAGATAGATCTTCTAACAACGTCTTCTGAAGATTCTTAAGCGGGGTGTTGCCGATGAAGTCACGGATGACGAAGAACAGGAGGGAGCGGTGGGTGGTGCTGGAGAATCGTTAGTGTCTTGCACATACAAAGGCAACGGTCACGCATACTGTTTATCCTTCAGGAAGAGTTGCAAGTTGACTTCGAAAACGGTCTTCAACAAGCCCATGTTGGCTCCCTGGTACAGCCCAACCTGGTGCTCCCAGATGTTGACAATGAGCACTTCACTGGTCGCGAGGGCGAAGAGAGCGCTCTTGCGTTCAAAGTCCTGGTCCTCGCCTCGTTCACGACCATCCGTGCCCTCAACATCCATAACCAAGATATTATCGGCCATTCGAGTCCCGCTCCCAGTGGCATCCTCGCCAGCGTTCTTGTTCTTGGATAGCCAGATTCCCTTGGTGGTCTGCCTCCTCTCCAGCTCGGACATGACGGAGAACTGGGTGCCGAAGAGATGGTTCAGCAGGGTCGACTTTCCCGTTGATTGAGAGCCGAACACGGAGATCAGGTGGTAGTTGAAGCCGGCGGAAGTGACATCTTCGATGGAGAGGTACTTGGACAGGTTGGGGCTGGTGGGAAGGGAAGAGATGTTAGCAACGCTTGTAGGGAGATGGGACAGAAGAGCGTACTTGAACTCCTTGTTCTCGTCCACCACCTGCACGCCATGCTCGTAGGAGGCCATGTCGTTGTGGTCGCCGACCGCAGCAAAGTGGCCGTTCGCCATCACAGGAGGTGCCGTGGGGCTCCTCCCTAGCGACGAAGGGCGGTCGGTCATAATAGTTCAGATGTTGACTTGTCGCCCTGTGAATAATAGGGTCAACCTCAAGTGGCGAGAGAGTGGGAGAAGAGCAAATCGAGTCCAGATCACAAGGTGTGGAAAGGTCCGAGGTTCATTATTATTGTTGGGCCACTCACAGTGATGCACAGCTGCCGTTGCTGGGGGAAAACAGTCTTACATAACCCACGTATACTTCGGAGCCCTAGCACCCCGGTTATATGGGGGGGATGGGGCTACCAGCATTATAATTCAGACAGAGAATAGGCACTATGTTTTTAAAAGGAGTTCGAAATTCCACTTATTCCTAGACGATATACTGACTCTCCCAGCATGGCCACCCAGAAAGCCCCGTCCCTAGTACAATGTCTATTCAAGCTAAACATCAGACCAGTTCAGATCCCATCCCTGATCCAGCCCCAAGTCGAGGTTCAGATTGTCGAGACTCATGTCCTGTCCCAATTCATCAAAAATCCCGCTAAATGCGTTGAGATCCACCATCGGGTTCTTCAGATCGTTGTCCGATGGGAGCATCTCCGAATATCCAGCGCGCTCAAAATTTAGTGCTTCACTGGTACCATTTACTTGCGCTGTACCATCGGAGGTCGACAAGGGTGGAGTGAAGGCCCGATTTGGAGTTTGCTCGGAGGAAGAGCGTTCCGTCGCCGCTATTGGGGCGGACGAATCCCCAAGCATCGGGCCGCTCATATTGTTCCAAAACTTCCTCAAAAGCTTGGAGCCGGGACCGACGGTAATGGTGCCGAAATAGGGTACCGTGATCTTGCATGTTCGGTTGGAGTGCGCAAATGATTTCCAGTCCGCAGTGGAAGGGTTGCAGACATTAAAGATCTTGTCCAGGATGGTGGCCGATTCAGCAGCAACAGAACCACCGCACTCCGTGGAGGCGCGGCGGAGAATCTCAATGGTCTCCCTTACCAAAGCAAAATCTCGTTGGTCCTGCTCCTTGTCATAATTTGGTGACTCTTCTGAATTCCCGTATACATGAGTCAGTACCAGCAAGGCCAGTATGAAGGCCAGGAAATCGGCGACTTTGCCGAGGTACGGCGCTGTTGTTGACCGTAGATTCTTGTAGTGACCAAGGCCCTGCCTTGCACACTGGATTGCTGTCTCGTGGGAATATTGGTACTGAGAATCGGAGGATGGTTTCAGCATAAAAGGGAGATGAAGCATAGCTCGCAGCAGGTTGGACATGAATTGCATTGGGACATGTTTGTGAAACGGCTTCCCTTCCTGCGAGCACGGGCTGGCATCATAGCAGCTGTCCGGCAGCGCAGCAACAGCATCAAGTAGATCCTGGTCTAGCTTCAGTGTTGTGGAGAGCGAGGCTTTGGCTGGATCGTGGCTCCGGTCGATCATATGCCCGGTAATGATGCCTACACGTAGCACATATTGCTCGGGCCCCGGCACGTCTTTCATGGCCAGACGCTGTTCCACCTGAGGCAAGATAAAGGCATCTGTCACAACGTACGGCATCCCCAGGATAAGGCTCAGCGTGCGGTCCGACGTCACTAGCGAACACCAAATTTTCAGCCGGCGTTCGTACAGAGCATCGGACGGACGAGGCGTCCTGGTCGACGCATGCATGCCGGCAATCTGAGCAAATTCAATGGCCCGGCGGTTGCCCAGCCACGCTTTGCGAAGCCGCCCATCATTCATATAGTACTTGGAAAGCAGCATCTGGCACTCAATGCCAGGTAGTGTGGCAGCAAGGTCGTCATCCCGGATGACCAAACGGTCCACCTCCGATATACAGAGGTCAACGAATTGTTTGCGGTTGAAAAAAATTTGGAGAGAATTGAAAGTAAAGTCAGTCATCTGGGCCACACTGATAGAAAGGCAAACAAGGGCCTTGGCCACGTCGGCCGGTGCCATGTTGAATCCCGGGGTGGATGAGTCTCGACACTGGTCACACAACTCCGGAAAGTTGCTTTGCCACACGAACCACCATTTAGAAGAAGCATCGATGATCTTTCTGATGTCTTCTCGTGGAGGAAGCAGAGAGATCAGCCGAGAGCGGACTTCCTGCGCCTTGGGCGACATGTCTTTGACTCCGGTGAATCGATCGTCACACGCGATGTCTTCCTGGCGCTTGACCAAATAGCTATCAAAAAGCTGTAGAATCGGCGCATTTACTATCTGGTTTGGCGGACTCAGCTCATCTGACTCGACCGATGCAGGGGTCAGATTGGCCTGTAGATCGTTAGGCGCTGCAATTGTAGGTTAGGACTGCATATCTTCCGAGGGAACGAAAGCTAACTTTGGTATGTCTTTTGCCCCGGTGGCTGTCTAATGGATGAAGTGTCAGGAACATTCTGGTCCAATCTCTTGACAAGTCCCTCTACTACATTCTCCAAATGGGCGACCCGCTCTCGTAGGCTGTATGTCTGCTCGCCCTGATGACTCGAAACACTGGTCGGAGGACTATGTTCCTGTTCAATGCATGTTGATCCACGAAGGCGACATTCGTTGCAGGTTCCAGGAAAGTCGGAGTTGGAAGTGCAGCGGATCTTACGACGTCGACCTTGACGGCCACAAAAGTTAGTATGTAAGAGAGTGTGACAACGCAGCAACGTACATTCCGTGCAACTCTTGGTCCCCTTTCTCATCCTCTTCCGTGGAGGCTCTTGCAGATCTGACCATGAGCTCATGCTGACCGAGATTATCTGTTCTTGTTGCGATGCCCTTTGTCGGCTGACGGTGATTGATGCCGTCGCTCTCTCGTGGGCTATCACGTTGGGAATAATTTCGAGGCGGTAGATGCAAAGATAAATACAGAACGCCCGTAAAAATAGCTATTAAACTAGCTCCACGTATCCTAGCAAGATTGTTATTTCCATTGTCATAGCTATGGAGGGGGTTTCGTCCGTCACTTTCATCCGAACCGGCCGGTCGAATTTTCGTCCGTCCGTGATGCCTAGATTTTCAGGTACAAACTCCTGCCATGCCATATTGATTCGTCCTCTCTGCGAGAAGAAGGCGAAGATGGAGACGAGTTGGTCAAATTAGGGAACTGAGAATAATAATTAATTAAGGCAGAAGCACGACAACAGATGTGTGCAGTATATGATCCTCCGCTCAAGTTTATGTACAGCGTTTTCAGTATATCTAGTTGAGAGACACAGCAGGGATCCGACCAAGAGCGGAGAAGAGAAGAGGCACGTAAGTACAGAAAGGGATAATGAGGGCGAGAGTGGTATCAAAAATCGGGGCAGTGAATAAGCAAGGAAGAAAGGTGGAACAACCAACAAATAAAAGCCATAACACTCTAGAACAAGTTCCAGCGGCTCCGCGTCTCCTTGGCTGTTGTAGGATGTTCAGATGTCCGGTGCATAGCCCGGCCATCCAGCTGCCGGATCCCTTCGATCTTCTGCAAGGCCAGCTCCAGCAGCTCCTTCTTGCGGATGATGTCGAGATGGCGGCGGATGCGAGGGTCTTCGCGAGCAAAGCGCTCGATTTCCGCATCGGAGAGATGGCGGCCAAGTCGCATGTCCAGCTCGCGGGGGAAGTTGTAGTAAAACTCAGAGAGGAGCTCGACGTTCAGGAAGAGGACCGCCGTCGCAGTGAGTTTGTCGGCTACTACGTCGAGGAAGACCTCGGGGCAGTAGTACTTGTTCTTTTGCGTGGCGCATTGTTTGGATCGGACAGCAAGAAGCCTCATCTTGATGAGGTCGGCTCGGTCACGGAGGAAGACACCCTCTCGGCCTGTATGATCGATTAGCTTTCTAAATCTCCTTCTGGCAGGCAAGAAAGCTTACCTCTCTCCAACAAGGCGGAACTGAAACCACCAGCACCACCAGCACCGTTACCTTCCAGTACCACGTCGCCTTTCCGGACCTTGTCAATGAACGACATCACATCTTTGAGTTTCCGTTTCCCGACAAAGTCTTCGACATGCTTGATGCTCGACTCGCAAGCTCGGAGTTCCTCCTTCAACACCTTGGTCACGTTCTCCCTGCTTTTGGTCCATTCCGGGTCTTCAACCTCGATCTCGAATTTGAAAGGCTTGATACAGTTCTCGACTTGGTCACTAGTGCTGAAGAATCGATCGTTCAGGATTCCGGTGCACGCGTCGGTGATTTGTTTATGCGCGGCCGGGTGAGACGCAAAAGTGGAATTAGCTAGAAGCTGATCCACATGGTTCTGGAGAGCATTGGCGACCACCGTTGTGGCCAACCTGCCGATGCCCAGCTTCGTCAAAGAGGAAGTAGAGGCATCAAGTTTCCGATGCCAAAAAAGATTTTCGGGGTCGGCTTTCGGAAGATCCTTAAGGGGATCCAGTTCCTGCATCGGCACAGTCAAGTCCTCTACCGGCTTATTCCAATACCGTTGAGCCAGGATATCCATGACTCGCTGGTCCAGCTCAGCCTTGAGCATCTCCCTGACCTGCGGCCGACCAAAACTTTCCGCGAATGCCTTGAAGGAATGTTTGAAGCTATCCAGACTCTCTGCCAGATAGGACTCCGCGCTCAAGGGCCGGTCGTTATATTGCACCTTGAACTCGTAAGTGGCTTCTTCAAGCTCTTGGCTGATTGCGTCTCTGGTTCCCGCCAAGCTAGACGCCATAGTCTGCTCAAGGACATTCATCAACTTCTTGCGTAATGTGGAAACGCCGACCGAAACGTCAGAGTGCGCACCAAACTCGGCTGGATGTGCTGAAAAAAGGCCTTCTCGTTCTTGAGAATGGCATTGGTGATGTTTCCAGAGCCTCGGGAGAAGAGTGCAGTGGTCTGAGGAATCTTGCTCACGACACCTACATAACCCAGTCGCAGAGGATACTTCTTGTCAGAGAGAACATCGTGTCCGCGCTCGGGGTCGACCAGATCCATTTTGGTAATGACTCCAATAGTCCGCTCTCCCCGAGGGTCTACACGGCGACTAGCTCTCAGTGCAGTCGAGTTCGCCAGGTCGACATCAGCTGCAGAGATGGCCAGTACAACGTTTGGCGCCTGGATGTATTTGTCGCAAAGATCCGAGATCTTCTGCTTCAACTCCGGGGGCTGATCATGACCAGCAACCTGAATGTATCCCGGAAGATCAATCATAGAGAGGTCCGGAACGTTTGGAGAATAAATAGTCAGCTGAATTGGATCGTCCGAGACACAGTCCTTCTCAGGAACGGCAAGATTCAGGTCCGTCAATGTGCGCTGGACTTGAGAAAAGTCCGTGATCTTGCCGAGGCCAAGCGCTGGAAATTCACCATACTCCGCTTGGGCATTAGGGGTGTTGACCAGCGTCAATTCAATGGGCCGCCGGGTGACCATGTTCGACCCCTTGGGCAGGAACTCGTGACCAACAATAGCCTCCAGAACTGAACTCTTCCCCGATGACTGCGATCCGATCACCACAATCGATGGAAGGGTCAGTGTACTAGACTGGCCAACAGTCTGGAGGATATTCCGGATCTCGATCATCTTGCGCGTGAGAACCATCATCTGGTCATCTTCCGCGACTTCTCTCGCCCCACGTGCATCGTCCTCATCAGACTGATCGTATCCAAACGCAGCGCCTGTTGCAGCGGCAGCTGCTCCTCCAGTAGCCCGACTCTCCTTGGGGTCCTTCCCTCCCCCACCAGACGAATCGCCGCCTTCAGATTGGGACTGTTCATCGAGACGGAGGATCTTCTGCAACCACTCCGGAACATCTATATCATCTTTCGTTTTATTGAAACCCCGCTGTGTCTGCTCGGCCACGTCCTGGAGTCCCTGGAATAACGTCGAAGCTGTGTCGCCCGCGGTTTCTCCGGCTCGTTTTAAAACATCCATCGCATAGGTCCCCGCTTCTGGAAAGACAGTCATTTTTAGCATATGTTCCCAAGTCCCGTTCTCAAGAGCACGTACGGTTTGCTTGATATTGGATATAGGCCAAGCCCGCAATAGTGGCGCCCCCAAACATGGCGGGTACCCTAGCGAGCTTCAGCGCCAGCTTCGGAAGCATTCGCGCGAACGAGATCGTCCGGACGGCCGGGACATTGTTGTGAATTGCATTCGCTCCTGTGGGCCAGGCGCGTCCCCTGAGGGCGGCACCGCCATCTGCGCGTAGGAGACCCCCCGTTCTTGAGCCGGCATTGTGAAGATGGCGCGCCAGGAGACCGTTCCGCACAAGCGGTGCAAGTCGGTGGGAGAGTATCCTCCCGCTCATGGTTGTTGCAGTCTCATTCAACGGGTGATGGCGAGAGATGAAAGAACATTTGTGAGTTCAAACAAATGGTTGGTCGCTGACATCAGGCATCCCCGTGACCTGCGCGACATGGCCGCGTTGTCTGCCGTAAAATGTGGTGTCACGTGGATCCGGTGACGTGCTGCCCTATGGGGATTGATTCATCAGTGTTTCCCTCACCAGGTTGGCAGGGTTGAAAGATCAAAAGTGACTGTTGGCGTTGCCAATTCAACCATGTGTCGTTTTTTGGTAAGACAGACAAGTTCCATTCTCTCCCCGCGGTTCTCTAACATATCCACGACAGATATATAAAGGCCGCCATGAGATCCGTCTCAGCAAGCTGGTGACAGAGCCGAGTCATTCCATTCTGACTCAATCCTACGACTCCCGGTTACGACTGGTAAGTTGCTGGATTATACGGCCCAGGGATAAACTAACACACGTATCAGGATAATCGGCGCCCCGTAAATGGTGACGGCTTTGGGGTTGGTTTCTACACAGACCCAAAACTCGGGCCAGAACCATGCATCTTCACATCCACTCTACCCGCGTGGAATTGTGAGAACCTGGAACGGCTTGCCGCGAAGACGTGCTCGAACCTCATATTCGCTCACGTCCGGGCAACTACCGAAGGCACTCTCGCCGACAACAACTGCCACCCGTTCCAGCACCAGACCTTGATGTGGATGCACAATGGCAACATCGGAGGCTGGAAATATATCAAGCGCACATTGGCAGACTCGCTCGCTGACAAGTGGTATTTGGGAGTCAAGGGCGGCACAGATAGCGAGTGGGCCTTCGCACTGTTTCTCGACCTACTGGAGAAAGAAGGGGTGGACCCGAGCTCGGATCCAGGCCCAGAGGGATTCGGACAGGCACTTCTTCGCCGAGTGATGATGAAAACAATTGCCAAGATTAACGAGCTTGTTCGAGAGATTCCCGAGAAATACAACGCTACGGGTGTCGAGACTCGGAGTTTGTTGAACTTTGCCGTCACCGACGGTCATACTGTCGTTTGCACTCGGTATATCAGCAGCAAGACAGATGAGCCGGCCAGCCTCTATTTCTCCTCTGGGACCAAGTGGAAAGAGGGCACGACAAAAGGCCACTTCAAGATGGAACGACATGACAAAGGCGCCGATATTGTTCTGGTGGCCAGCGAACCTATCACCTTTGAACGACACAACTGGGTCTCAGTGCCGACCAACTCGGTGGTCACCATCCACAAGCAGACGGTGATGCTGCACCCGATTCTGGATGAATTCTATGGGGAGGATTTGAACCACGACCGCTCTTCATGCTATGCAGTGTCGAAGGGCCTTGTCAGCACAGCTCCTGGCACCACTGTCCCGCCTCAGAGCACAGATCAGCCCGTAGCAGGCCGAACTGGCCTTGATGTGAGCAATGGTGATGGCGTCGGTCTGGAGGGCCCTCGACCTGGCCATGCTGCCGAATGTGCCGTGTCACATTGACACGAACCCACGAATTAATTCATAGAGGATATGGAGTTTGCGGAACAGATCAGGTTGTTTGGGTGTTGGTCTAGCATTCGCGGTCTGTTACGAACCGTATGCCCATTATGCTACTCTACCATGCCTGCCTAGGGCGCAGGATTGCTCTTAGAAAAGACACAATTTCGGGATTTAGAAAGTTCTCATTAAAATAATATGGAAGGAGAGGCGCCATCTTCAAATATCCTCGCCAGATATATTCGCATGTTTGAAATACTTCATGCCTATCCAAGCCACGACAACCCAGACCCAGGCCATCACAGCCGTCAAAATAATCAGAGCCGGATAGTAGCCGACGATGGGCAAGGTCGGATCGTCCTCCAACTCCGGTGGTGCGTAGGGGGTTTCGCCGACGTCCCACGCCCAGCTCCATACCTCAAAGCAGCTGCCAATGCCCACAACAAAGACCAGCCAGGTCACAATGAGGATGATCCAGCCCCACCACTCGGTCTCGGAATAGTCCCTGGCAATGTCGGAGCTGCTCTTCATCTCGACAGAATGGGTTGCAAGAGGCGATGATTTGGTACGGTGGACTGGGCGGTAGGCCGTGTCCGGTTGAAGAGGGTAGTAAGATTCGGAGCCAGATGAGGCAGTGGGGATGTGTAAAGATGCAGCCCCTGTTCTGGTACTGCTATTTGCAACTGGGGCTGTGGAGGGATTGTTCGCGGTGCTGATACGTGGGAACGCAACAAGGTCTTCCTCATCTGTGCCCGTCTCATCGCCCATGTCATGACGCTTGGAGAGACTCTGACGGGAGAGACTTTGACGGCGCCGAGCGATAGATGGCCGTAGAACCTTTTGTTGCGCGCTCACGCGGAACCAGCTCGGCTGGGACTCGTCGCCCTCATCATCAAAGCCCCCCCGAGGGGTGGGCTCAGCGCCTGGCGAAGCCTTGGCTCTCGCAGATTGTTGTGAGTCGCCCGGAGGCCGGAAGCTGTCCTCTTCCAAGGCGCCATTGGCTTGGGTCGAAGCAGCCCTTTTTTCTCGCGATTCCAGCCTCGTGCCTAGTAATGCAGTCTTCCGTAACGAGCCTCTTCGCCGTCGTGTCCGTCGTTGTTGTTGCTGCAGCACGGCTGACATCGCCTTTCCACCAGCACGCCCCGTTGAGCCTTCGCCTGTAGTTTGCAGCAGGCTGGACTGTACGTCCTCGCCATCCGCGTCTTGTTCCATGTCGGGAAGTTGTGAATGCGGTGCGGGTTTGGTCGCCTGGCTCATGCGGAGGAAGGAGAGTTTCGAGAGCAAGGATCCAGAAAGAGTGCGCTTGTGGCCGCTGCCTGCACTGCCTGCGCTGCCTGCACTTCCTGATCGTGAGCGAGTGGATAGTCCGTCGACCGAAGCGAGTGCCGCATTCCTGCTGTCGCCATCGTCCATTGGCGCAGGGAGATACCGGGAGCTTGGACGTCAGCTCACCGGCATTCAATCAGCCAGCATTGGGGATCCTGACAATAACTGGATTGATGGTGTCGTAGTTATCAGTGTCCAACGCGCCAACGAAACGAAGATCGGCGGGAGAAAAGGGAAATTGATGCCTGAACAGTCGGGCATAATTTGCTCACGTGCCCTGACGTAAGAATCCAAACCCGGGGTCGAATCAGACCGCGAGTAGTTGTTTCTTCCTCTCTCTCTGTGAGAAATCGCCCTGCATCACCCTGGGCCTTATGCTCGAGTGCCTCATCTGCTCCTCGATAATGGTAGACAACCGGTTACAATGAGAAAGACACTGCTTCTCGTCTTTATCCACGGCTTCAAGGTATTTTATATCAATGGCTGCCTGTTCCCCGCAAATCTCCCAGCAGCATAGGCTGACCCATTTGTCTTATATTAGGGCGGTGATGATACCTTTGGGAACTTTCCTGAGCAGCTGCGCACTCTTGTGAGCAAGGCACTGCCCGCTGTCAAAGTGGTCACGGCAGTGTACCCGAAGTATGAGACCAAAGGTGACCTGAAAGAGACCGTGGGGAGGTTTCGTGACTGGTGAGATTTGCACCTTCACATGATGACATTACTTCTAATGCATATTGGATCCAGGCTACAAAATACGGTGATTGACTTGGAGGTTGCAAACCATACTGCATCGCCCACCGTCGACCCATCTGTCCATGTTTTCCTAGTTGGTCATTCCATGGGAGGGATTGTGGGCGCCGAGGCCTTGCTGCTGCTAGCTTCAGAACAGCCTATTCCTCACAACCTTGCGCCTGGTACATCGGCAGCTCAACCGGATGGTGACCCACCTGTCGTAGAACCGGGCACCTTCATGTTTCCGCATGTTCAAGGAGTACTTGCCTTCGATACGCCCTTCTTGGGAATCGCCCCAGGAGTGATGGCATATGGTGCTGAAGAACACTATCGCAATGCTACGACAGCTTACAATGCCTTTTCCGACGTCGCAGGTATTTTTGGTATTGGGAAAAGCGACAAGGCTGGAGTTGCACAGCCCCCAAAGGAACCACCCAAGGCCTTGCCCGCATCATCTGATGCTGCAGCGACGCCGTCATGGCAGCGATGGGGCCGATATGCCATGTTTGCCGGTGCGGCCGGTGCTGTTGCAGCCGGTGGTGCCGCCATGTATTCCCAGCGCCAACGCTTGACTGAAGGGCTCACCTGGGTATCCTCGCATCTCGAGTTCGTTGGTTGTCTGGCGCGGACATCGGATCTCCGACAGCGTCTGGCGAAATTATCGAAGGTGCAGGAAGAGCGAGGAATTGGCTGCGTCAATTTTTACACCTGTCTTGGAAAAGGCGCGACGTCTCTTGTGGAAACCATAGACACGAACCAAACATCTTTCAGTCAGAAGATCATTCGATCGAAGAATCGGACCTTCTGTTCACTTCCGTCTCATATGGAGGGCGGCGAAGGGGCTGAGGGCGTGGAGCAGCTCGGTCTCCGATGGACGAAGGCTGTTAATGACCAAGCCCCCGACGAGGTGAAGGCGCATATCACCATGTTCCTACCTAAAGAAAATCCTGCGTTATCTGCACTTGTCGGGGAAGCCTGCAAAACTCTGGTGAAATCGATCGACAAGGGCTGGTACAGTACGTCGTCAGGCCCTGTTGAAGCGGAGAGTGACGCTCGACGCGCACACGCACCGCCCAAGCCGGAAGACGACTTTATGGACGGCGATGACGTGGTAGTTGTGGATTGAGTTTGCGGATTACGCCTGCAAATACGAACAAATGCGGGCTGATAGAGGTATTACTCTATTGGGCCTTTCCCCGTGGTGGGCCATCGACTCATCGATTAGACTTCCGCCCATGTTCCGCCGCGGCGGATCTCCATCCGACCCAAAAAGGACAGTGTATGCTTGTTGCCTGACCATCTTCTCCCCCACACACAAAACAACATCAACCGGCCGTTCTCGTCTCGGGCATACCGAGTGCCGCTCAGCAGTGCCGCTCAGCAGTGCCCGACTGCTATCCCCACTATTTGCATTCCGGCAATCCACACATTTCGAGCACCTGAGCCCCTCTGGGA